TTGTGAAACCACTCACAAGCCTGCCCTTCCAGTGTCGCCAGGAAGCACCGACACTTGATTTCTTCTGGATACGCGTACATGACCACGTTGGCCCCGAAACGAGCGAGGTGGTCTTGGGGATCTGTCGTCCCATTGTATGCCTTGATCTGGGGAGTCTTGAAATTATCTGGGAGAGGGCAGGACATTATCCTCCTAGAGAAGGGCGTTACCTCACTGAAGACCGCCTGGCGATAGGGGTTCTGGGCATCCAGCCGCTTCTCCAGTTGTTCGTACATTTTCCACAGCTCGGCTGCACCCTTATCCCCGATTGTCATCCGTCGCTCCTCAGAACCGACCTTGGAGGTCGCTGTGGACTCCCCTCTCTTCTCCTTGAGCGTGTCTCTCAAGTCGCCTTTTCGGGCCGACCGAGTGTCCTGCAACCTTTCGAACGCAGAGGTCCGAGGTTTCTTCGACTTGGGATCTCCCAAACGGTCAAAAGCAGACATCCGCTTGAAGGAGGACGACTCGTCCTCTTCTTCCAGCCTGGAGAGCGCATCTGCCATCATAGCCTTTCCATTGGGCTTGGTCGCCTTCTTCTTCTGGGACTGCCTCACTTTTTTCTTTTTTCCTTGGGAGCCCGCAGGTCCAGCCTTCTCGCCTGTGGGTCCCCCAGCCACATCTCCCACCACTACCTCGCAGTTGGGCGCAAGTGCGGCCAGCACCTCCTTGAATTGTTCGGTCGTGATCCCAACCCTCTGAATGAGGGCCTCAGCCTCCCCGGTGGTGATGGGGGGGTGCCGACCTCCGGTGGCGTTGTTCTCCCCCTGTTGGGGAACTCCGGTACCTACGTTGGCGTTGCTACGTGTTTGCACCATCGTCGTTGTGGAGGATTTCTTCCGAGTATGATTCTCGAACTCTCAACGAGAGCACCAATTTGATGGACAATAAATCCACCAAATGATCCGATTTACAGAGCGGATTGCAAGAACAAAATTAAGAACAAGAATTCGAGAATTGGATGTGTATTACTAGCTTGATTTAGCTTGAGTTCTCCCCTTTCGGGTCCCTTCTATTTATACACGAGCTCTCAACAATTAAGGTGAAACATAACCGATGGAGTCTAGCCCGCCAAGGGCGCGATCCCCTTTTCCCGGCTCCGTAACGGCCAATCAGCTCCGTCTCCTTCTTCGGACTGACTCTGCCAGCTGCGCTTGGCCTCAGGTTAACTAGGCCCAGCTCCTTGGGCCGGCCCAGCTTGAGTATTTCACAGGTGCTTGACCCGAAGCTGTTTAAATGGTTCATTTGGGCCGTCCTCTGGATATCGGCCCATCAAATGATATAATCTCAATCTGGTCATTAGAGAGATCACTTCGTGTCCGGTGCGCACACGAAGCTATTATAAATAATAGAATTTCCACACCGTCGTTGTCGAGAATTCAACCTTAGGTTCAACGAGATTAATCTTTTCCTTGGACCATCAACTCATTCGACTAAAAGGAGAGGAAATGCATTTATTTCAAACTTAGATAGCGGGAGATGCACTTTAATTCAAAGACGGATAATAAATAAAGGTGAAAATTCATAAAAGAACAAAATCAAATCATCAATTGTTGCTATTCATTCAGCCGCACAAAGCCAGAAGCTACACTCTTCTTTAAGAGTAGACGTGCGAGTTCAGCTGAACCAGTAGTCCCACTCCGGGTCCTGAAAAATTCTCACAGATATCTCTCCGGGAAGAAGACGAATTGAACTCCCCTCCCACCTCTGAAGGGACGCCCGCATATCACCAGATCTCTCGAGGGCGGCGAAATTATTGCTGCAGAGTTGCCAGGAAGCGACTCGTCCGTCACTTTCTGCGCTTATTTGGTGAGCAATTTCACGCCCGCCCTAATGTGATTGACCTCTCATCTTCTTTTATTTTTTCAGACGAATATCTATTTATTTTCATACCATCAGTAAATGTATATTCTGGATTCACTCGTTTAATTAGCTTCGCGTTCCTCCATTGTTATGATAATACAATATTATAATATGATCCTTCGGAATTCCGTTTTTCTAAATTTCAATTACAAAGCCATGAAGGAGATCAATTTGTGTTATTGAGATGCAAAATTGGGAAATACGGGGAGAATGAAGGAGACGATGAGCTAACAACTCCCACTGCATCACTCTCCCCAATCATTCCAATGCTTACTTGAATTGTGTTCTGAACCTGTTATTAACTTCAGACTCATGCTTATCCCATCCTTTTTTACCCTTTTCATTTTACTACCTCAGTCTAAAAAATTTGCATCCAGATCAATTCTCTCTCTCTCTCTTTTTTTTTGATTTAGACGGTCCAAAAAGCATTTTCTATTTACTTTCTTTCATATTTTCATATTTAGTAATGTACAAGTGGCTCACCAAAGCTTTCTATTGAATTTGAGTTCTACGTTTTCCACTTTTTAATACTTTGAAAAAAAAGCATCATATTGGAATTCGGGAGTCACTGAAATTTAAATTTATGTCATCTCAAATCTTAGCTACCCCGTACTCTGGTACATCAGCCAGATTCTCTCATAGTCTCATTTCAAAGGAAGAGGTGGACAAAAAGTTCATTGATCTGTGGCAACGGCTCAATTATTCAAAAGATGCTTTTTATTCTTCCTTTTCTTTTCTAAAACCATGTTTGTTTATGCAAATGATCAATGTCCCAAATGATAAATGGCTCCTTTGTTAATTTGGAAATCTCGGGTACAAAATGTTTCCTTAGTTCTCCTAAGCAGGCTCTTTTTATCCCCCCTATACCTTTGGTTCAATAAGTAATGACAAATGTCATTCCTTTGGGTATTTTGAGCAAAATAACCATCAATCAAATCCAATCCTCCCCCAACTCCCAAAAAATAATAATCCGTGATAGGAAAAGTATTTGCATTGACACCTTTACAGCTCAGTTTTTTTTCCTTTCTTTTTCTTTTGAAAAAACAAATCTTGAAAACTGTGTTTGGCCTCTAGTCAAAAGTGTCTTGTCATTTGAAATTGCAATGATTCTTAATTTGGTGCCTTCTTTGGTAGCCACAAGCACCACACCTTTAAAAGGGATTAAAAAAAATTCATTGAAGGCACCACAAAAATTTCCTTCTGGTTATTTCCCATATTTGTATTGTGGGCGCTAGAGTAATGAGTTTGTTATATACTCGTATTGAAGCTCTGATGAAAGCTTTCTGAAAACGTACATTCTGTTTAATGAGCCAGGAAGTGAAGAAGGGACACAGGATACGGATCCTAATGTAATGGAAAAAGTTTTGGTTGCTGTGAAGGCATCCAAGGAAATACCAAAGGCCGCTCTTGTTTGGGCTTTGACACATATCGTTCAACCCGGGGATTGCATTGCACTTCTGGTCGTTGTCCCTTCACAAAGCTCTGGTAAATCCTATTTCTATCATAAGAGCCCCATAAATAACAAAGCATCACAAATGCAGAAAACAGCTAGGAAAACTGAAATACGCTTATAAAATAGGTAGTGGGTACATTCTTCATGTTTGGTTTTACTTATAAAATCATATCTGATCGAAGTGTTTAAAAGCTTTGCATTTACAACTCTTTCTTAGTCTTAAGAGGAGTATAACTAAATGGTAGCTACTCCGTATATGCTTAACACATGCAAGTCGAACGTTGTTTCCGGGGAGCTGGGCATAAGGAAAATAGGCTCCTAGCTAAAGGTAGCTTGTCTTCCCCAAGTTTGAACTAATATCTGAAGTTTGATTTCCTACCAAAATTCCTCTTATTTCCTTGTTGTTTTCATTTCTTAGCATTTTATGCGTTCCAAATGGGATCAACAGATCCTCACACTATGTTTGGTTCAAAGAATTTGAGAGGGAAAAGAAAAGAAAAGAAATGAAAAACAATTTTTCATGTTTGGTTAGAGACAAAAAAAGGAAAATTAGAAGGAAAAATTATTATGTTGGTGAGAAAAAGGAGAGAAATTATTTTCTTTTTCTTCCTAATTCCTTGGACCAAACGTAGTGTTAATGAAATCCGGGAAGGAAATTGAGACTTCTTGTAAAGATACCTCATTCTATAAGGAAGTACCTGCTATATTGAATGTTGTACACCATTGTTAAATACGGAGTAGCAAAATCAACTTGGCTTCCTAGCACCATGGCACCATATTCATGTTGCTCAAATCCAGATTTCTTTTATCTGAAAACTTTATTGTTCTCTATATCATTCTTCAGGCAGAAAATGGATGTTCCCAAGGTTTGCTGGAGATTGTGCTCATGGCCATCGAAGGACACACATCGGGACTACTTCTGAGCAGAAATCTGACATAACAGATTCCTGCTCCCAAATGATCATAAAGCTTCATAACGTTTATGACCCAAATAAGGTAGTTTCATAATGATAATTCATCTTTAGAAATGTCCATTAACATTATCATGCACTAATGAATTAGTTTGTGTTAACAATATGATGCCCTCCAGGTAAATGTCAAGATTAAAATTGTTTCTGGGTCACCATGTGGGGCCGTGGCTGCTGAGGCAAAGAGGACTCAAGCAAACTGGGTTGTTTTTGACAAGTAATACTTGTACATTTTTAGTGTGCTTCAATAATGTGCTTAATCTTCGTATAATTTTGAGGTATATGGCTGAAATGATATCACCCAACATTTCTCCAGAAAATTACTCGCGGGTGACGCGAGTTTTGTCGAAATAACTTTCAGGTCCCTCTATTTTCAAAAAGACAACCGAGGTCCTTATATTTTGTTGTAATGACTGGGAGGAGACATTTCATCCAATACATCATCCGCAAGTGTTAATAAATGTATTTTTTTTCCTATTTTTCCAATACCGTTTTTTCCTATTTTGCCATTACCTTGTTTTTTCTTTTTTTAAAGTTATTTATTTCATTTGTTTTAATATAATACAAACAATTTTGAATTTTTATACGATTTTATAGAAGAAATTCTAAAATAACACTTTAAAAATGAAAGAAAAATAAAGAAATAAAAAAAGGAGTGACCTAAAATTTATTACCTTAAAACATTTAGAAAAGAATAGGAAAAAAATACATTTATTAACGTTTATAGATGAAATATTGGATGAAATGTCCCCTTCCAGTCATTACAACAAAATGTAAGGACCTCTGCTGTCTTCTTGAAAATAGAGGGACCTGAGAGTTATTTCAACAAAACTCGCGTCACCCGTGAGTAATTTTCTGAACATTTCTCCTTTGAGAAACGCTCAGCAGATTAAACAATTTCTGCCATTTTGGCCAAATAGCGCCTACCAAACAGGTCTTATTTTGCATCATATACAGCAAGTTCATCTATTTATACATTCTTTTTAGGCAGCTCAAGCACGAGGAAAAAAGATGCATGGAAGAGCTGCAGTGCAACATTGTAGTAATGAAGCGATCTCAAGCAAAGGTTCTTCGACTTAATTTAGTTGGGTCGAGTAAAAAGGATAGTGAAGCTTCCAGTTCAATACCTCCAGTGAAATCTCAATCAAGTAGTCCAGAGATATTCACTGCTACTGAAGGTGACGGTACGCCCTCAGTTTATAGTTCTGATCCAGGAACCTCTCCGTGGATGTCTAACAGCATAGCCAATGCACAGTTTCAGTCCTCCCACAACCTGGCTCAAATCTATACAGCCAATAGTATGCTTGGAAAGTTTTCTAAAACTGAAGATGAAGGCATATTTGCATCATCACCAAGCTTTAGGGTTGACTTAGATTTCACTGGTAATTTGCGAGATGCAATTTCGCTTTCAAGAAGTGCCCCTCTTGGACCTCCTCCCTTATGTTCAATATGCCAACACAAGGCACCCGTGTTTGGAAAGCCTCCTAGGTGGTTCAGCTATGCTGAGCTGGAAAATGCGACAGATGGATTTTCTCAGGCCAATTTTTTGGCAGAGGGCGGGTTTGGCTCCGTTTACAGGGGTGTTCTCCCTGATGGCCAGGTGGTTGCTGTTAAACAACATAAAGTGGCAAGTTCCCAAGGGGATCAAGAATTCTGCTCAGAAGTTGAAGTTCTTAGTTGTGCTCAGCACCGAAATGTTGTCATGCTGATAGGATTCTGTATTGAGAATAGCAGAAGGATGTTAGTTTATGAATACATCTGCAATGGGTCTTTAGATTCCCATCTATATGGTATGCGATCCTTCTCCCACTTTGTGCATATCTTAAACTGCGATTATTCTGTGTTGCAAATGTAAAAAAGATTTAAGAGGATTTACTGCTCTATTTTTATGGAGCTGTTTGCAATCCATGATTGGACACATACAATATTATATTTTATTTCTTATTACCCAGCCTTTTAGAGGTAATGTTTAGTTCCTATTTAACTTCATTAGCATTGTCTAATTTCAGGAAACAATGAAAATCCTTTATTGTGGTCTTCCCGGCAAAAAGTGGCCGTTGGGGCCGCAAGAGGTTTGCGCTATTTGCATGAGGAATGTAGAGTAGGATGCATTGTTCACCGAGACATGCGGCCCAATAACATCCTTATCACCCATGACTTTGAACCCCTGGTATTGCAATTCTCTTCTGCTGCTAGTTCATGCTATTGTTTTCATTACATTCCGCAGAGTTTTTCGAGTACATTCTTGGTGGCAATATTATTCTCCCGAATAGAATAGGACTAATAACTTTCTCATAAGACTCTTCCAAGCTTAATTACATACAACTTTTACTAGCAAAGGTCTATGGCTACTCTAAAAGACTAGACTCTTCCTCGCAGGCTCTGCCAAAGACAAATAGCGGTCATATACTCATATCCTAGACCTGGCAAAAAGTGACCCGACCTGTTTTTGACCCGAAACCCGACCTGAAAACACTGGGTTTTGAACAAAGGTTTTGATGACCGAACCCGAAGTTGACCGAACCCGAAATGACCCGCTAAAAATGGGTCAAACCCGACCGAACCCGAACTCGACCTGACCGACCCGCTAAACTAAGAATTTTTCAAAATTATACACTTTTTTTACTTGTTTTTAGTGTATAAATTTATATTTTCAGACAAAATTTTAATGATATTGCATAATTATCTTACTATTTTNTACTATTTTCCAAAACTTAAACATTTTTAAATTCCTTATATTGATTTATATATCTAAAAACTACTTTAGAGTTTAAAATAAAATAATTTTATAGATTTAGTACTTTTTTTTTATATTTTAAATTTATTTAATAGAAAATGTAAGTGTTAATGTGAATTTAAAAATTTAAAAAAACCAAAGTCATAACCCGTTGGGTCGACCCGAACCCGATGACACTGGGTCATGAACATACAGTTCTCAACCCGAACCCGAATTAACCCGAACCCAAAATAACCCGAACTTGAAGTGACCGAACCCGAACCCGACCTGACCGACCGATTTGCCAGCTCTATCATATCCCAACCACACTCATATCACGGTATTTATGCTGTGTATTTCGTTTGCTTCCTAGGTTGGAGACTTTGGTCTGGCCAGATGGCAACCGGATGGAGATACAGCAGTTGAAACACGGATACTTGGGACATTTGGGTTAGTGCCTTCTGCATTTTCCTTATTTTGGAGGGTATTTCTTAGCTTTTATTGGTAGAACTACAAAACTAACTCTGGCAACTATCTCTTTCTTCATCCAGATACTTGGCTCCTGAGTACACTCAAAGCAGCCAGATCACAGAAAAAGCTGACGTTTACTCCTTTGGTGTGGTGCTCGTCGAGCTTGTTACAGGACGCAGAGCTGTGGATCTCACCAGGCCCAAAGGCCAGCAGTGTCTCACAGAATGGGTTTGTTGCATTTTTTTTCTCCTTTCCAATTCCCCTTCTTAGGGTAGCGGCCCATCACCATCTAATTAGTTTTTATTTTTCTTTGTTGCTGGCTTTCAATCCACAGGCCCGCCCACTGTTGGAAGAATACGCCATTGAGGAATTGATTGATCCTCGGCTAGCAAACAACTATGATGAACATGAGGTTCATTGCATGTTGCATGCCGCATCCTTGTGCATACGCCGCGATCCTCAGGCAAGGCCTCGCATGTCTCAGGTAAAAAAGGCCCATATGATTGTCATCAATATAAAAAACCTTTAAGATCTAGGGGACGCTTGGTACATTCCATGGGGAATAAATATGATCACCATCCTCCAAGAGAATCAATTTCATCACACCGAAGGAAAGCAATTACACTTAACCGTTTACTTTCCTTGGTTAAAGTGGTTAAACAATACGTTAGAGTATACAAAATATGTCCCGGACATACAACCATAAACATGTACCTCAGTATAGCATTGTTCCAAACAATCTTTGGCATCATTTTCTCGCCAAAGTGTAATTAAGCTATTTATAACTTCCTGTCACCTTGAATTAGCACTGTTGTCTAACGGGAATGATTTATATCTGTTGAAGGTGCTTCGCATACTTGAGGGGGACATCATCATGGACTCGGGTCGAATATCGACGCCGGGAGAGAGCAGAAGGATGTGGGCGGCGGATGCGTCTCCATACTTGCAAAGGTACAGCGGCCCTATGTTAAACCAAGTGCTGGAGGATTTCTCCCCCAAGCTCTCCTTTGACATCGTTGATAAAATCCCCCGGTGGGAGATAGATGATGTAGGTGAGTTAACCACAACTCCGGTAAATTAAAAAAAAAAAAAAAAAGTTCCCCCCTCCCGGCGGTAAAACTAAACAACCGGGCAACTCCCACTCCAGCTCCCACTCGGAGGTAGGATACGTGTAAACGTTTCTTCTATATACGGAGTATTTAGGATTAGTGCTTGTGCTTTGAGTGCTTTCTGTATTACGGAGTATTTAGTTGGAAACGGTTCCTCTTTTATTTTATTTTGTTTTCTCAATTCAATTTACCTATTTCATTTTTATTCATTCCAAAATATGCACAATTCCTTTATTCAAGTCTTTATTTCAACTATACTACGGAGTATTTCTATCTTATTAATATTTGGATGCAATGAGCTTAGGACCAAAGGGGCTCAAGTGTAGTGTAAAACCCCATATTTAACGACAAGAACTCTTCAAGATGTCCCAAGCTGCCAGTATTTCACTTACCATCCGTGCCAATTTTGTGGACCATTTCTTAAAATTCCATAGATTTAATAATTCAATCTAGATTTTTAGTGTAATTTAGCAGAATAATTCAAATGAATAGATTTATTTATTTATTTTTGTTAAAAATGAGGGCGTTGAGTGGGCAAGGTGGACGGCTGTCGACCTGTGACGCGAGGGTGGTCTACTCCAGAGTCCAGAGTGACTTTTGAAATCTAACATTAAAAATCTAACAAGCTACTAGATCAAAAGATGATTTTAAATTTTTGACTGATTTAAATTTCTTCCAAAAAAAAAACAAAACCAAATGAAGGCACATCCCTACATTTACAACAAATTAACCAAGATATGAGAAAAAATCAACACTCGTTCATAAACCAATAACATAAAATAATGGGATTGGAGAAAGGAAAATGCGCAAACACATACGGCACAAGCAGCAGACACTAAGACGACGGAACAGACGGAGCGTGGCTGGCCAATAATCCGCTGGATTCCTCATCCAAGGCCAAATCGTCGGTGGTCCTGAGAGCACCGTGTGCAACCACGAGGAGCGCGCCGATTAGCAGAGATGTGATAATGTTCCAGGTCGCGCCGGTGAAGAGGAGCAGAACGATCGTGAGGACGGAGAGAACAATCAGCACCGCGCCGTCACTGATCTGGCGGCCGAAGATCACCAGCTCGAAATCGCGGAGGAAGTACAGGAACAGCCACACGGCCATTAGGGCGACGAAGACGATGAGGGAGATCGGGTGCCACAGGAGGCTGAGGAAGAGAATCGGGAGGACTGCCAGGGCGTAGTTCATCCGGAAGTAGGCGATGTTGATCTGGATCCGCGAAACGGCGTCGTGGAAGCTGGAGGGGAGGCCGAAGGAGTGGAAGTTGAACATCTCTCGCCACGCCCGCCGCGTGCCGAGCCCCTCCTTTATCGTCGCCTTCGCACGGGAGATGTACTCCATGCTCGCAGTCGCACCGCCGCCGGATGAAGACGTCGGGATCGTGCCGTATGTCGTCATTCTCCGGCGACTTTTGGTTCAATCGGGAATCCCGAGGAGATGCAGGCAAGGGGGCAACAATAAATTGACGCGGGCTCTCTTTCTCTTTTTCTCTGTCTATATAGCGCGACTGACGGATTGGTGCACTCTCGTGGGACCCAAACCGGTCTGGACCCTGGAGATAGAGGTGTAAACAGATATTAATTGGATTAGATTTGCTATTATCAAATCCGCATCCGTTTATTTTTGTCGGATATCGAATTCAGATACGGATCTTGACGGATATTGAAAAATCAAAACCGCATCCGTTGGATATCGGATATATCTGTATCCTTTTCCAGTTTTTAAAATCAAATTAAATAATACTTTAATTTTAAGTTAGACTAAAGTCAAACTATTATTAAATCAAATATAATTTTTATGGGATAATTATTTTATTTGTTTTCATGATTTATGATGTTCTACGATAACTTCATATGATAAAAAGATATACACAGTACACATATACACATATTTTTATATGTCTGCACATATTTTTGTGTGTCTACACATTTATTTTGTATATAAAAATGTCTTATACTTTGAAATATCAATAGAAAAATAAAATATAAACATAAAAAATTAGGAAAAACTATATATAACGGATCGAATATTCGGATAAACGGTTATTTAAACAGATGCATTTTCGAATCAGAATTTAAACGGATTGGATATACAATTACCAAGTCCGTATCCGTTTAGTTATCGGATATCCTTAATCGGAAACGGATAATATCCGTTTAAAACGGATGCAGATTTTTTTTTAAAACGGATACATATGCGGACGGTTATCGGATTTTCAACTATCCGTTGACAGCCATATCTGGAGATTAGAAGTTTAAATGATTAACGGCTGTGATATTGATGGATGATCATTCATAGCAAGGGCCTACCAATTTAGGAAAGATTAGGCCGTGGCCCATTGGCAAACGGGCTGGACTGCTCGTACTGATTCATAAAGGGTTTGTTTGAGAATATCGTTAGATTTTAGCGATTTTGAAAAAGCTATCAACGGGTAGCATTTAGCATTAGCGTTTTTAAATTTAATCTGTACTGATAATATTTTATCTAATATGTTAATGCTATTCTCAAGCGGACCCAAAATCACAAGGCAGACCTGGGTGCATATCATTGTTTGAAATAACTTGCGAAGTAGTTGTGGACTACATTCACAAAAGGATGAGCCCCATCCTTGAGGGTCATCGAGAAAAGAAAAGAAAAGTTAGATTATAATTGCAAATTGATGGGCTACATTTGCTTTTTCTCACCTAGGTGATCTTATTGTAGTTATATTATTGCTTGTTGTAAGCGCATAAAAGTAATTTGTAAACATCTCAATTTTAGATTGGAGAATGATAAGGGTACACTAAATATCCCCTACCCTCTCCTTAGCCATAAAAATTTGCATGTAAAATTCAAAAAAAAAAATAAACAAATAAAAACCAAATAAAATTGAATGGTAAAGAGGCAAGTGGTCATGTACATTTGAGTTACACCTTTGGTGTACCCCTAGCATCTAATTTTAGATTTGTTTTCTACTCTGTTAATGAGATGACACGTTTATTGGTGCGTGCTACTCATTCTATTGAGATCGTTGAGGAGTGGTTCGTTCACTCCGAGATGCGTGCTACTCATTCTATTGAGGCATTGCCTTGCCATGTCAGCAAATGCCACTCAAATCATGGCATTCCATGACCATTCACCCCACTTTTCATTCCATGTGCAAGGCATGACTCCCTCATTTTTTATTTTTTTAATATTTTTAATTTTTGAAAAAAATATTTTTTAAAAGAAGTAGATATATTTTAATAATGTAATAAATGTGTAAAATAATTTTTGATAATTGAAAATCATTAAAAAAGTACAAAAATTGACAAAAACAATGACTTGTCACTGTATGTTATGACACTCCACTAGGTTATTTTTTATTGGTTGAAATAGTCCTGACATTTCATTTTTGTCTTGCCATTAGTAATGCTCTTACTACATCTATTTAAAATAAGGTTTTTGCTTTCAAAAAAATAAAAATAAAAAGGGCGCACGGAGGACAATGAGGTCGTAACGAAGGGCAGCCACTACCCCTCACGTGGCTTTGTCTAAAGCTTTTCTTCTTTCTTTAATTGATTTTACAAAATGTTTGTGAAAAGCATTATAATATTATACACAGTCTCTTTTCATAAAAGAAATGCGTAGATTTATTAATTATACGTACGTGGTATTTGGAGTGAGATTATAATGTCTTGTAGTAATTGGAAACATGGGCAAATTTGGGAAGAAGAACGACAATGAGTTGAAGCCAAACCAAGCCAAGACAAAGCCAACGGTACTAACTCAATCAATGCAAAAGTTGCTCTTCTTTGTACTATACCTCTTGTGTTATTTACTCGCAAACCTCTCAATTTATATATGGAGTTTTCTGTTTTACATGGAATTCGTTTATTTATTTATTTAGTTCTAATCCTTAAGTTTTTTTTTTGCATACTATAATTAAATGAACACCATATATAATTGTCGTGTCAGATGCTATTTGGTCCGGAACTCAATAGGAGAACTCTATTCAAATTTAGTATACCCATCATACACAAATTATATTTCTTACATATATATAGGCCACATAAAGTACTCCGTATGAACTAAATCACAACTTATGAAAACATTAAAAAACCAATAAAATTCAAAAAAAAAAACAAGAAATACATATCCATATGATAATTAAATTACTTATTGGGCATATGAAAAGATCTATGATTCTTTTATTTATATTCAGTCCATCCATATACAAGAATTTACCCTGCTATTTTTCGTGCTTTGATTTGAATGTTTTTTCAACTTGAATTTTCTTTCATAAAAATAATTAAATTCTAGGAAAATTTTTCTTGGAAAGATATCCTTAGTTATTATTTAATTTTCATAAAATTACAAGTTCCTCCATCACATTATAAGTGCCATATTTTTATAATGTATAAGTGTGTAATTTTGATGAGGTACGAACATTAGAAATCATCACATATGGTTATATCTTCAAGTGTGTTTGTTAGTCTAACTGAATTTAACATGTTTAACTTAATCCGTTAAGCATTATTTAATAAAAACTCATTTAATATGATGAAAATTGTCGTTTTTTCTTCAAATTTGACTCTTTTTATGGTATACAAACATGTTAAGAGAGAGGGTTGTGTTTATGGAATGAATATAATAGAGTAATAATTTATGTACATCACCCAAAGTGCAAGTAAAAAAAGAACTGTACAAAGGCCAAGGAGCCTCAAAGGTGACATACAACAATGAGTAAATGCACTTCCAAAAACAAAACTTCAACTTAAAGTAGACACAAAAGTGTATTTAATCAGCTTGAGGGAGTTGAGTTTGCCCCTAAGATTGATCATATACAAATTCACAAACTTTTCCAACCCTCTTCAATTTTCCATTCCAAGTTTCCACACCTTTCTTTGATTAGAAAACAAATAATTATTAACTGCATACCTATCTGCATTTATTACATATACCCCTTGAAGGACCATTTCAAGAATCTGCAACTCTTATACCATTTATATATATTCTAATATAAAAAAACAAATTAAAATGGAGGGAAGACACAAATTCTTGCATGGAACACTTGAAGTATCAATTTTTCATGCAATCAGGGACAATAATCCAACTTTTCCCTTCATGGTAAATTAAAGCTCATGCTAGAAATTAAACAATCTCTTTTTTTTCTGAGTAGTTGTTTTTTCAAGTCTTTTTATTTTCACTATGAAAAGTGAAAACAATCCATTTTAGGAGTCTATAACCATTGTTATATTCATGTTTTATACACACACTTAGGAGTGTATGGCTTTGAGGGGAAAACCTGCACATGTGACAATCAATCTGGGAGACAAGACGGTAGCGAAAACGACAAGCGAGCGCAGCCTTGTTTGGAACCAAACCTTCCACATTCTATGTGCTCATCCCGCAGACACGACAACACTCACAATCGCATTGACAACAAAATGTCATGTCTTGGGGAAGTTCAGCGTCGAAGGAAACCGACTTTTGCAGCACGGCGTGATCCAAGGGTCATTCCCTCTGCGGCGTACTAACACCCAGAAGAGGACGGTCAGTTTGCAGCTGATGGTGTGGTTCAGACCTGCAGAAGAATATGATGGCAGTGGGTTCATAGGGCCAAAGAGTAATATAAATTCCACATTTCCACTCAGATCAAACTGTTCTGTCACCTTGTATCAGGACGCACACCATACGGTTGCATTTCGGCCACCTTTTGGGAAGCCAAGAAAATTGTGGGAAGATATATACAAAGCCATTGATGGTGCTAGACACTTGGTTTACATTGCAGGCTGGTCTTTTAATCCTAATCTGGTTTTAGTAAGTACAATTCAGCTATCTAAGATTTATTACTAGTGACTTTAAACCCAGATTATCCCAAGTACAATTCACAGTGTTACTTCCACGCGACTTAAAATACAATTGTTTTACGTCCACGGGCAGGTTCGCGATCCCATGACAGAAATTCAACATGCAAGAGGAGTAAAGCTAGGAGAATTGCTGAAACGCAAAGCAGACGAAGGGGTGGCCGTAAGGATTATGCTGTGGGACGACGAGACGTCATTGCCGATCATAAAAAACAAAGGGGTGATGAGAACATGCGACGAGGACTCCCATGTATATTTCAACAACACAAAAGTGGTGTGCAGATTGGTTCCCAGAGGTCACCATAAGTTACCGCCGTCCGTCTTTACACACCACCAGAAGACGATAACTGTGGACGTCGCCTGCGGCATTGAGTCGCCACCATGGACGTTCTTGAGGGAGAGAGAAATCATGTCCTTCATTGGGGGGTTTGATTTGTTCGACGGCCGTTATGACACGGAGGAGCACTCCCTATTCCGCACCCTCAACACAGAATATCATTGCCATGACTTTTACCAGACCAGCTTACCCGGGGCCTGCCTCTCTAGAGGCGGGCCCCGAGAGCCGTGGCACGACACTCACTCCTCTGTCTTGGGACAGGCTGCTCTCGACATTCTTGAAAATTTTGAGCAGAGATGGACGAAGCAATGCGGCCGTGGCCTCACATCTCTGGTCCCGATAAGCTCGATTCGCGAGCTAAGTAATAATTGTAACCAACTCGAAACCAACCCCGTTTCAGAACGGGATTGGAAGGTTCAAGTCTTGAGATCCATTGATGACTCATCAACAAACACTCTGCCAAGAAACATGCAAGTGGAGAGGAGCATCCACGAAGGGTACGTGGAAGCCATCAGGAAGGCAGAGAGATTTGTGTACATTGAAAACCAGTACTTCATAGGGGGAAGCCATGTTTGGGAGCAAGACAAAGACAAGAACAGAAATGGGTGGTGCACCAACTTAATCCCGGTCGAAATAGCATTAAAGATTGCGAGAAAAATCAGAGAAAATGGTCGTTTTGCGGCATACATAGTGATACCTATGTGGCCGGAAGGAGACCCCGGGAGCGATTCCGTTCAGGATATACTGCACTGGACTAGAGAAACAATGAAGATGATGTATGGAATAATAGGCGAGGCAATCAGAGAAAGTGGCAGTCAAACGCACCCTAGAGATTACTTGAACTTCTTCTGCCTCGCTAATAGAGAAGAAAAGATGAAGGCAGGAGAGTTTGTCCCTCCATCCTCTCCTCACCCTTCATCTCATCACTACTGTAAGGCTCAAAAAAACCGGAGATTCATGGTTTACGTCCACTCCAAACTCATCATAGGTTGAGTATAATAAATCAGCATAAGCATGTATGAAGTCTTGAAATACTATATAATAAGATAGATTATTATTATAATGAACTTTTTTTTTGGATATTTAGCGGACGATGCATATCTGGTAATAGGGTCAGCGAACGTGAACCAAAGATCGATGGATGGGGAACGGGACACAGAAATTGCAATAGGATGCTATCAGTCATCAAGGAGTAGTGAAGAAGGAATCGCTACCGATGAGGGCGACATTCGCGCGTATCGAATGTCTTTGTGGTACGAACACACGGCCGGAAAAGCCACGAGCTATAGAGAGTTCCTGGAGCCTCAGAGCGTGGAGTGCGTGAGGAAGATGCGTTCCATTGGAGACAAAATGTGGGACATCTATAGTTCATCAGGTTCAGAAGACGAAGAAGAAGATGATGATGAAGAAGTAATTAGAGACATGGAAGGGGTGCACTTGGCGAGCTATCCAGTGAGGGTAAGTAGAGATGGTGTGGTGGAGGATCTTATGGAGACTAATAATAATGGCTGCTGCTTTCCAGACACTGAAGCACCGATCAAAGGGAAGAGATCGAAGTTCCTTGCTCCTATCATCACAGCTTAATTGCAACTTATTACAGGGACGGACACGGAGAATTCATAGAGTGGGATCACAAAAACGATAATGTAAGGAAATGAAAACAAGATGATGAACGCGGAGTATTAAAAGTCATACCATACAAATTAAATCATATTACTTCAATTACACAAAGCACTGCAAAATATAATTCGGAGTTGTTTAAGTTTCTTGAATCGAAAACTGCGGTAGAACTTCAAGTCCAATCAGATGTTCTTGTGGAAGCACAGGTTTTAACCTTTTGTAATGAAATTCTAAACCTAATACTCCGTATAACACAAAATATTACTAACATATTAATACCGTTACTTAATATGAAATTCATGATAAAAATATATAAATCATGAATATAGTGGGTACATATTACCACATATGGCAGCTATTGCCCTCCAACCCTCCATTATATTAAACAACAAAACCCAGTCGCTACAAACTCAAATTCAATTAAGCATAAATCTCTAAATCCGAAAAGTAAAAATCAAATTGGGTTTCATTTACCCCCAAAAAATCAAATTAAATCGAATTTCATTAACCTTCAACCCAGTCGTGCGCCCGCGGAGCGGCGGAGGATTCTAGTCAGCCGTCAGGCGCAGCCCAGGAGTAGCGAAAGCTGAGCTTATCACTTACAATGCGCTACGACAGAAAATGGGTAGCGGGGAACGCAGGGAGGGAAAGGGCTGGGCCCCTCACTTCTAAAAGGTACGGAGTAAAATACTCTTCTAGCTCGAAATTATATTTTAGATTTGATTTTAAAAGATTTTTACTCGTAGTAAAGTACTCTCTCCGTCCCAAAAGAATGGGACGGTTTGATTTTTTAGGAAATTAAGGGAGAAATATTTTTGTATTGACTTTCTAAAAATACTTTTGATGTGATGGATAAAAGTAGGATGTGATGGGTAGATTATTAGGAAAAAGGTATGATGTGATAGGTAGGATATGAAAAAGTAAGGGGTAAAAGTGGTTTTTTAATAGAAATGTAACAAACTTTACGGGACGCAGTTTTTTCTAAACGTAACAAACTTTTTGGGACGGAGGGAGTAGAATATGTGGTTGACCTAGTTTGGCATCAGCGTTTTAAAATAGCATTTTGAAAATGCCATTTAACAGTAGTCTTTAGTGTTAACGTTTCTAGAACTAATTTATACCATTAAAATTTTATCCAAAACGCTAACGCTATCTGAAAATGCTCTTTCTAAACAAGGTCAATGTTGATGCTGTGTCTTGCGTAGAAGAAAGAAAAATTGAGACAATCCAAACTGAAAATAATGAAGATAATTATAAAATTTTATTTTTTATGCTATACCAATTTTTAAATATGATGAATTAAAAAAAATTCATTATACTTCGTAATTTTCTTCTTCAAGGCTCTTACTATTTGGGAACGGAATAAGTGCAATTATAAACGCATAAGTTTTGCCTCTATCTACAATTGTGTTTTTGAAAGAATTATATTGTCTTTACGATTAAATTATGCATATTAATATACTCTTTTCATCTCCTTTGATTCCTAACATAATGCTTTATGATATTATTATTTTCAAAAAAATTATTTTAAAATCCTAGTGTAAAATAAAAAAATAAAATCTATTTTTTAAAAAATAACATCAAAGGATCTGCATAATAAGATTTGGTATGAATATACGCAGTTTTATTTTATGAATGATAAATGAAAATATGTATAGAAAAGGAAATTATTTATTCACGTGAATAGCAATTGACCAATTGTCCATATCCATCCCAAATTCTATCATGGTATCGGAGCAGGTTTTGGCGCACCTCGTTTGTCAAGGTGTTCGTCTAGACGTTCATTCCTAGCGACCCGTTAGTCTTTAGCCCAGTTATCCGTATGGAGTATGTACCCAACGGTCCGTGGCCCGTTTAACACAATTGCTCGTCTGGAAGTCCATACCCAGCGGCTCGTGGTCCTTTAGGTGTTGGTACTCAAAAAAAAGTCAAGAAGATGGGAGTTCATTTGCAAGTGGTCAACCGGTTAGATTCAAAATGGCCCGGTTGTCCGCTTGAGGGGGAGTGTTAAGAGTATCCCACATCGGAAAAGTGTGAGGAAAATAATTGGTATATAAGCTATTGAGTTGAACTAACTAATTGATTGGATTCAATCTTTTAATGCGATTCAACCCAAATGTCTTAATGTCCAATCCAATTACTCTTGCCCCATCGTAAATTCTATAAGCTAGCTACAATAATTGACAATATTTATGGGTTAATAATTGTATTACATACTCCCTTTGTTCCTAAATAAACTTCCTTTTTTAACTTTTTGAGAATTTAAGAAAGAGATATTTTTGTGTTGACTTTCCAAAAATACCCTTGATGTGATGTGTAAAAGTAAGATGTGATATGTAGAATATTAGTAAAAAGGTATGATGTGATAGGTAGGGTATGAAAAAGTAAGGGGTAAAGGGATTTTTTAAGGGAAAAGAGAAGTTTATTTAGGGACAAAGAAAAAACGAAAGAGGAAGTTTATTTAGGGACGGGGGAGTACTATTTACTACCAACTTGGCTTAATTAGCTTTTTTAGAGTAATGAGTATCAGTTTTACTTTTTTTTAACCATCATTTAATCAGGTTTAATGAGATTTTGGGAGGTTACATGTACACACATTGACTCAACATTTACTGTATTGATGCATGATTCCGCATCTATAAGCTTTCAAATTTACAGTGCTGTAAAAGATGATAATGAACCTGTGGAGAGTTGAAAATGAAGATAGTGTTTTACACAAAGTTACCGGAGGCATATCTCATTGTCCTTGTCATGTGCAGTTTCTTGGTGGGATTCTATATTGGTTTGTCCCTTAGGAGAGCTAAAAAGGTTTGTTTTTTTTCCTTAAGAGCTGAATTTATTCATAGTAATAATAACTTGATTTCATCCTATGTGTTTAATTGTTTTTTACCAGGTTGATGTTTTGAATGTCGTGCCTTCATCCGAATATCAGAATTATTCAACTTGTCTACCAGAAGATTTCATAACAGATAAAAACATCTCGAATGTAAACATCATATCGTGATTAGTTAGTTATAACATTTTTCTAATATTATGTGTTTTCTTGCGTCTATTTTTATTTATCATATTTGAGCATGATATAATTAAATCAACTTTTCAATATAGATATTTGTTGCAACAAATCCACGTGGTGCCGAAAGATTGCCACCGGGCATTGTTGAGCCTTACTCGAGTTTGAATCTCAATGGTGAAGATATGTCGCCGAAATACTTGCTAACCGTAACAGTAGGGGTGAAACAAAAAGATTTAGTTAACAAGATTATCTCAAAGGTTCATGTCTATTTCAATACAATACTCTTATGCTAATATCTTTTTTATATAGACCGGCACAAACAAAAACTTGTGTCTAAGTGCACAAAAGTTATTGTTGATCCAATTTGGTTCAAGAAAGAGATCTCCAATATCACTAAATAATATATGATGTTTGTGTTTTTTAGTTTACAGAGGATTTTGCAATAGTATTGTTCCATTACGATGAACGGGCAAACGAATGGGACGAATATGAATGGTCAAAACGTGCCATTCATGTCACTGCAAGAAAACAAACCAAATGGTAAGTCATTTTTTTATTGTTATGAAAATAAAATACCCAAAGACAATAAAGAAAAAAATTGTGCAGGTATTATATACCTAAAATAATTTAAGTATTGAGTTCAATCCAAACATAAACAAAAGAACTTCACTTGTCACTTTCTAATCATGTTTAGTCGTTGTCAGATGATCTTTCAATAAACTTTCAACAGAAACATAATACTTCTAGAACAGGTGGTACGCAAAACGCTTTCTCCACCCTGACATTGTGGCCCAATATGAGTACATATTCATCTGGGATGAAGATTTGGGCGTGGAAAATTTCAATGCAAATGAGTAAGAAGAAATAATCATCATGTATGTGTGTGTGTGTGTGTGTGTGTGTATATATATATACATACATACAAACATATATATATACATACATACATACATACATACATACATACATACATACATACATACATACATACATACATACATACATACATACATACATACATACATATATATATATATATGCCATGCAAAATGATATGGAGATGGTGATGTATGCATGTGTTTGTAGGTACATTAAGCTTGTGAAAAAATATGGTCTAGAAATCTCACAACCTGCGATTGTATCGCGGAAGGGCTTGACATGGCTAATGACTATGAAGAGGCCTGGCGTTGAAGTGCATAGGTATATATGACATACATCATCATCAAACCAATTAGGAATAGTATGTATAAATATACTATATATGCACATGTTGACCTTGTGATCAATCTTACTAATAAATTAATGTATTATCGTTGCATTGTGTTGCAGGAAGGTAAACCAAACACTGCAAAGCGGACAATGTGCTGACTTAGACATGCCACCTTGTGCAGGGTACGCGTGCCTTCGCACGCGCGCACACACACACACACTCCCTTTTGAACACATTCAAACAAATCTATATATAAGTATCGTTGTGCCAAATTTAATTTCACTGATAAAGAGATTCTAAATTGTGATCACGGGTGACTGACACTGGTTAGGTTTGTGGAGATCATGGCACCTGTATTCTCTCGAGAATCATGGCGGTGCGTTTGGAACTTGATTCAGGTATTCATTTTACATATTATTCATGGCCCTTTCTTTTTCTTGGATATGGAGATGGACTCTTCTTTTTCCTTTTTGTTTTTGGGGGACGCAGAATGACTTGGTGCACGGATGGGGCCTTGATTTTGCCTTGTGGAGATGTGTAAAAGTAAGGGCGGAATGCTATTTTGATTGTTTCCTTCTTTGATTTGATTTCTTGGACCCTTATTGGTGGTTAATCCTATTTGCAGAGGGCACATGAGAAGATGGGGGTTGTAGATGCTCAATGGATAGAGCATTTGGTAGTACCCTCCCTTGGAAGCCAAGGAGAGTCCATTGATGGAAAGGAACCATGGGAAGGGGTAAGAAAAGATAACCATTCAACAACCTATTCACTATTCCTATTGTCCATATTTATCTTCATCAATCCCCAAAAAACCCCTGTATTATTTAAATGAACAAAATATTTTCATTTTATCCCTTCAAACCCACATTTTAACATGTGCATTTGACACCAATAGCACACACAGAAAGGGAATAAGGAAAATTGTGTTGTGTTTTAAAAGGTACGAGCAAGGTGCATCAAGGAATGGAAAGAATTTGAAATCAGAATGGAGCAAGCTGTAAAGAACCAGTCGCAATGGAGTTTGCCTTAACACTCTAATAAGCTAGGTGGCATCCCCATCTATGTTTATGCTTTAGAGTTTGTTTGGAACCACATATATGCAAGGGGATGGAAAATAGACGGGGCATTTGAAAAGCATGAATCAATTTGTTCAATCTCATTTTACTTATAAAGATAGATACAGTGAAAAAATTAACAAGTTCAATCACATTGGGTATTTCTTCATATTTTTCAAGGAAAAAAACACACTTTTCCTTAGTTTTTTCCACTTTCCCCACCAATCTCCCCCCCTCCAAACATGGCCTTGAGTATTCCAGCAGAAAGGAACCATTGCTATGGAGGGACAGAGGAACCATGCCCCTTCATATATTTTTGTAATGAAAGCTTTAGGAATGTACTACTAGTAAACATAAAACAGTACTGTACTACACAACCAACATACCAGAAAGGTACCAGCAGAAGAGAAGAAATCGCATCAACAGATTTTGTCCAGAGTGCTGTTTGACAGTTTACAGATTGGGGATAGACTTTGCACGAATGAACTGTTTAAGAATGGCCTTATCCTCATCAATGCGCTTTTTCTCTTCAGGGTCTCTTGGCTTCAGTTTTCTCTTCTCTTCAAGCATCCACTTTAAAATCTCGCGCTTATCGTTTTCAGATATCGGTTCCTTAACAGGCTGCTGCACTACAGGTGGAGTAACTAGTTTTTCAGCAATTGTGGCAGATTCGGTAGCAGTTACCACAGAAGGGCTAGGAGGAGTCTCTTCCATTTCTATGGCGGTGTCTTTCTTTTTTGTCCTCGTGTAAACGTAAGCTATAGATTTCACAGAAAATCAAGCCATTTCACCATGAAAAGAAGAAAGAGAAGAAAATGTCAAGGTTGATTTACCTGACAAAAATAGTGGAAGGACACTACAATAGCCATACAGAAATTCCAAAGATACAAACTTCACCAATATAGATAGTTAGATACAACCATAAGCCGTAGGCAAAATAAATGTTAATGGTATACATTAAAAGCCAGAATGTATGATATTGATGACACCAAAGATTAACGTAATATGAGACCGTATAGAATTTAAATAACTTCTTTTATAAACAATCTGTTTTTCAAAATATACAAAGCTTCCCCCACCCAAAACCAATCCAAAAGACCAAACCCGTCCATCCAAAAAGAACCTAAGTGATATATTACTAATTTACTTGGAAGTGCTCGGAATCTTAAGTGGTGAATAATACATGACCCTTTTTGACAGACTTTATTCCGATCTAGCGGAATTAAACCTGCAGAATTTGCAGTTTTGCACTATGTCGGTATGTCCTTAAAATGTACTCCGTATTCTATACTCCGTAACACAACCAGTTCAACCCTTGGTGTTTGAAAAGTTCATAATCCCCATCTCCCTTTTCCTAACCGTTTAACCAGTACCTAGAGAACGATACAAGGAAGAATTGGTTTAGGATGATGCACTACGCATCCTCCCCAAACAATAGGCTTTTAGGAAAATGTGATAGCACCTGTGAGCTGTGAATGGAGAACACCATGTGAAGTGTAAAAATACAAAACAGACACCAAATCCACCCTCGCACATTCCTCTCAAATAACAAGGTAAATAGTCAGTATTCTGCAAAGTATTGTTTCTAAACTAATTTGCTCAAACAATCAAAAGACTACTATAGAAAATAAATTCATGCTCCCTCAAATTTCAGAATGACCATCAAATTCAATGATAACTCTTCGCAAGGTATTGCCACACTAAGCAATTAAGAATTCTATATGGCAGCAGAACCGAAAGTGAACATAAACACATAAAAAACAATGAAGTAAGCCAGGCATCACAAACAAATGTGAGACTCATCCTTATGCAGAACACTATTTGAAAATACATGCTACCAGTTTACAGCCAGTCTATAACTCCCTATCAAAAGCTAACTGATGATACACACAAATCTATTAGGTTTTTCCCGAAAATCATGAAATCAAACACAATGCTAACGGACCTAGTCAACAATGGCCTAAGGCGTCGTTTAATTAGCACAAATCTACAGAGATCCGTAAGAGTTAAGGCATGAAATTACTTTCATCGGCCAACATGAGAAAGAGAGAAAGAGAAGAACCTCCAATGGAGAAATTGACGGCCAAGAGCATCGGGATTAGAAATCTGTAACGGCGAAGGAAAGGTTCCTTTGCAGGGGGAGAAGGCGGCGCGGGCTGAGCCGGCGGAGGAGTAGACGAAGTAATCGGCGGAGGAGTAGACGAAGTCATCGGCGGAGTAGATGCTTGCTGCTTCAGCCGCGCTGCGATAAGTAAAGTATATAAGCAAATGGATCAATCAATCGCATAAGCAAGCGATTGTTGCTTAATTCGGATGATATGCGAAAACAACTTCACAGTGAAGTAAATAAATAAATAAGAATTACATTTCTTAGGTTTGTTCATGTACAGCTTGGAGCCGTTGGAGGCGGCCATTCTTCTTTCTTTCGTCACCTGCTTTCACTGCATCTCTGCCGGACTTTAGCCCCAGTTTATTTACAAGTATATCTTGTTTGTTTGATGCAGATATAATACAAATTATACAATAAAGTTTAAACATAGAGTATAAAAATTACATTAAATTTTTTTATAAAACAAAACGTGCAATGACTATATTTTTTGAACAAATAATAAAAAAATAAGTAAAGAAAGAAGAATGATATGATTTGTCACCTCTAAATAATATAGAAATCATTCTAAATAGGACTAAAACATAGAGAAAAATATCAAAATAGGACTTTCATATTTTTTTCCCAGAATAGTACTTTGCACTGTGGTAATGTGACTTTGCATTGTGGTAATGTGGCAGTGTACATGTGCAAATTACTATACTTTTTTGGTAATGTATATGACCATGTTTGGTAACGTAAGTCCTATTTCGAGAATAAAAACATGAAAGTTCTATTTTGATATATTTTTAATGTTTTAGTCCTAGTTTGGTTTTTCTCCCATAATAATAAAGTGAAACATTTAATGTGAGAAAGAAGAAATACATATTTAAATAACAATAGAGGATGTATCTTATTACTAACCTCTCTTAAAATATATTGAAGTGATAAATCAATGATTGTTTTTGTAGAATATTAACATTGTTTATTTTAAATCATTTTCTTCATTTATGTAATTTTCATTTTCTTCTATCCAATTCACGAGTACGTTTACCCTACAATGGGGTGTACCTAGAGCTAGGTGATGGGTGTATTTACACTCTGACCTAGTTCCAGTCTAGTAGATATCCATCTTGGTGAATTTCTAGATTGACATGATAAGTAAAGAAGACAAGAAAAATTGATCTGGTCAAAGTGCCATGAAACCTACTCTAGTGTAATCTCCGTGATCAGGCAAACCCGAAATGATTTATTAGTCAGTTAGCCTGACCTTCAGAGTTTACTCGAGCCTAGCCGTGCAGAGGTGGCCTAAATTACCCGGTTGGGTCCCGTGCACCTACTTGATATAGCAATAGTTGAGAGTGCAAAGTGTAGTGACCTGGTCAGAGTGCAGGATATACCTTTGAGAGATCACTCGGGTAGCTTTGGACCAAAATCCACCTGGGTGAATTCCAACCTTGTACGACGATAATAAACCTACCGTGATGATCCAGTCGTATTTACCCTGCGATGGGTGTATTCCACCCAGGCCACGACCCCAATCGAGTCCAGCCAGGAGCAATCGGTGAATCCCATGTGATGACAGCCCAACACGATTGGACGGAAGCGACTAGCCCATACTAGATTCCTCTACACCAACAGGCTTTCCCAGATATTCCTACCCAAACACTACGCGCCAGCCAAAGAGGACAATCACAGAGGAAAGCATCCAGGAAGGAACAAACGCTACAAGACAAGGAAATGTCAAGTCATCACGTTGCGAGGCATGGGTGCCTACCACCCTATCCCCTAGCATCACTATAAATAGGCTTGTAACTCTGAGTAAAAAGGGTCAAACTTCTTCTCTCTAAAAGCTATTGTGTAATGCCTTCATGTACTATTCCCGCACTTAATAACAATGAGACTACAGGTGTTTCCACCAAGAGTTCTCCAGTTGGTCAACTTTTTTTCTGTGTCTTTTTAGTATCTGAACTCAGCAAACCACTTTAGACCCAGTCTAGAGTAGTTTTCCCGGGTGGTAATTTACTCCATCATTAGGTATACTCGACTAATACTCATTTTAAATCAATAGAATGTTCATTTTCCTACATTTGTTCACTACAATTATACAGAGCAACACATCAACAAAATAACGTAGTGTTCATTCTGAAACAACGTAGTGTTCATTCCAAATCTACCCAGCATAGTGTTCATTTTGAAACAATGTAGTATTTATTCTGATGATAAAAGGTAAATAGAGCCGAATCGATCATGTACAATGTACAAATGCAATGCATCGGGGCATACCCCTTATAAAATCAAAGACACACACCCATCAAGAAAAATGGAAAGAAACAACACCAAGCTATATGCCGATTCTTCTAACAAATTCAAAGTAAAACTTACTGTCGCCTAGTGACACGCCATTAGTGTCACGCAGAGTCATGTGGTTATTCCAAAAGGTCAAGTGACATCTTAACTTTAAATAAAGCCTCTTGTAGCTAGTAGACCTCCAACTTGGTCTTCGAGGTCATCATGCTTTGACGACTTCCCCTTCTCCTCATGTGTTCCTTGGCCTGCTCTGAAACCTCTTCACTCACTACTTTGGGAGTGATTTTTGTAGGGACCGTCTCCCTTAGTTCCACAACATCAAGAAAGTCACCATCCCCAATAGTTTTTTGTCCCTCAGAAAGCTGAGATGTTTGGTTCAGCACAACAGGAGTGTCAATAGCCTCTACTTATGTTGTGCCTTCCGCTTTGCCTGTTTTGAAGCCTGCACCCCAACCGCATGTTCCACACATGTTGAGTGGAACATGCGGTTGGGGTGCCCATGACTCTCAACGGCTTGCCCAGGATTAGTAATGGTTTCCTCCAAAAGCCTTATGTCTTTCATCACTCGTATTTGCTTCATGGTTCCATGGGAACAGTATTCATATTTATGACGTCTCACAACCCAGAAAGTTGTGTCCAAACCTTTTGCAATGAAAGCAAAAGTTTGGGAGGCCTTCATGCAAGTTGACTTTGAAAGATGTGGGTAGCTCCTTTGACTTGTCCACGAGGATAAGCATCTAGCAAAAACTATACCCTTTCTCTTTCCTTAGTCATATGGTTTGTTTGAATGTGGTTCCCATCCTAGCCCCCAAATGATCCAGTTCCACACGGTCCAAATTCTCAAAGGTACGTGAATAAACTTCACCCAAACTTCAACCTTCATAAATATATCAAAATCAAAGTAAAAATCATCTGGGAGAACACGTAATGTTCATTCTTGAATAATGTATGTAGTATTCATTTTGAAGCAACGCCATGTTCATTTTGCCGTTTTTGCCAGAATACCATATTTCCCATCTTTCCCAAACACATCTAGGGTTCTGAGGAAGAGTTTCCTTCTTTATCCAGCAACCGTCTTCACACCACAACACCTTCAGTACAAACCCCTACTCTTTTGGCCGTCCTAATAATTCTACAAGTTCTTTCCATCTATTTGCTAAGTATCATCTCAATCTTATGAGTCTCCTTGAGATCCTTCCATGTCGGTGTTGCATAAAAATTGAGTTTGCCGGCAAAGACTATGCAATTTCCAGTGGATTCGTCGTCTGAGTAGAATCAAAGCTTGATGTACCAAGAGAAACATTTGGTTGTACCATATAATGTGCCACAATTTACATATTTTTTCTTTCAATTCATTCTTCGCCAGCATTCACAAAAATTAAAAAAAATACAACGAAAACACATTGGCTAGTGAAAAAGGAATAGTTAGAATTCAATTAAAATAGAATTACTTTAAAATACATATTCTAGAATGATAAAGTGACAATGGTGTTCTAAGAATCACAAAGTATTAGTACAAAGAAAAACAGAAGAAATATACACATTGAAGGCAGAACTTTAATGAAAGCAGAATCCAAATAACATCAACAAACCCAGTAGAATCCTACAAAAAGATTGAAAACAAAGTTATCCATATATAAATGCTAATTCACCTGTCTGTCCCTAGTAATTTGGGAAATGAAAATGAATCGTTGTTGGAAGCGAAGGAAGATTCCCCACATCTTAATACAAAGTTCGTTAGTTTACAATCGTAGATTCAAGTGTCATTGCACTCTTCTGCACATCAAGTAATCTTCAGCCCTCATTACATCCCGAATTGGTTTCCATCATAATCTCACTCTAAATGAAATTAGTTGTACGTGACGCACAAATAACCAATTACTATCTCCCAGATGGATGTGCCAAGTGCCAACAACACAGCGATGGTTTTACAAGAAACTGAACACCTTAACTTTAGTTCCATCTTCGTCCGCTACCATAGCCTCGGCCACGATCTCGGAAACCCCCAAGACCTCCTAAATAATCAAAAACCAGCAGAAGAGAGCTAAGGCAACAATGGACATATGATAATTGAAGCACATATACAGCTGTTATTCATGTCATTCTTTGATTTACCATGGTGGTCTCATAGAGTGCCTATATATTCTTTCTCAAAGCCATTGTTTTTTTCTAAATTGGAGGACTTAAGGTGGGGAGGAAAGTGCATGAGTGGCGTGTGTTAGGTTGTGGTAAGGAGGAAAGTGGAGATGCGAATTCATCCCAGCTACAAATTTGGGGTTTCAAAAAGTTGTTTTTCCTTTGTTTTTAATTTACTTTTTTGTTACAAGTAATGTGTCAATTAATTCTTTGTTTGGACCTAATAAGATATTTTACTCCATTGTTTCCCATCCACTCCTTCCTCGTTCCCCCTTCCCCTACCCTCCCCCCTTTTGAACCCAATAGTAAATGATTTGTTTGGGTCCCGGTCTAAAGAAAAGAGAGAAGGGGGAGGGATTTTTTTCTTTGAATGAGCTCTGTATGTTTGATTTTACCTTGTAAAACTACTAATGGAAAAAGAAATATGTTCGATTTGTAAATAAAGTGTACCCCTCTTTGGGTTTCCTGCCTTTCTCCCTATTTTCTTCCCCCAGCATTTTCTCCCCCCATCATTTTATCATAACTAATCGACCAACCTGGAGGAGGAGGAGGAGCACCACGTCCCATGGAAGCCAGTTCAGGGCTGACCTTCTGCCCGGCCTCTTGAAGAATGCTAATAAGCTCCTTTGCAAATCTGGCATTTGCAGCTGTGAAGAATGTGTAAGCTGTTCCTTTGGCACCTGCTCTTCCTGTTCGACCAATCCGATGAACGTAATCCTCAAGGGATCCCGGAAAATCGTAGTTGATAACATATTTAACATCTTTCACGTCTGCAAGCAACAAAACAAATATGCAGCATAATTAATGAGATGAAAGTCTAGAAGAGCATCAAACTTTCCAAAGTTTTGCTCATAGACTGACAAGTAGACTAGCACGTTTTGGGATAACTTATGGAACAAACGTACAAGTGATTTTATCATAAGTTCTATCTTATTGGTGAATTGCATTTAAAGTGTTTTTTAATGTTAAAACTTAAAACATCCTTTTACATTTTTCATCCAAACAATTATTCTTAAGAAAAAGTCCGAAAGTACTTCCTTAAAAAAGCAATTGCTCCTTTGGAAAAAAATTTGTTATGCAATTTAGTAAAATATAAACAGAGATGTTAACAATTGAGGTTGTTTGTGTCTGATATAGATTATAGAGATATACCTAACCCTCGAGCAGCAACATCAGTAGCTGTCATTATTGGACTCTTGCCAGCTTTAAATTCTGAGAGGACCCAATCTCTTTCCGCTTGGCTCTTATCTCCGTGAATAGAAAGCGCAGGCCAACCATCCATTCTCAGTTGCCGAGTTGTTTGATCACACCCCTTTTTTGTGTCCATAAATATCAGAATCCGGCTACCATCCATAATGTCCTCCAATAACTTTACTAATCTGAAATTAAAAACAAGATTAGCTTAGTTTGAAATTTTGAATTAATAGTTTAAACTGACAAAAAGAACTAATTGTCATGTAACAACACCCAAACAAATAGTGGGTCAGAAAAATCCTACTTGTTATATTTTTGGCTTTCTGAGACAACTTCCACATGCTGGCGAATTGCATGATTAGCTTTCAAATCTTCTGAACCAATAATTACCTGCAGGATAACAGAAATTAAAGGATCTCAATGAGGAGGAACACAGGGCAATAAATTGTACTTTAATCATTGCATCAACTTTTTTGGAGAAATATAAACTCTAATTAAGTGCAGATATACTTCAATAACCCAGTGGGAAATAGACTGTTACTCTCTCTGTTATCTAGTAAGTTTAGCTTTAGATAATTGTTCTCAAAAAATGAAGAGAGCATTAACGGCTCATTTCCCACTATTGCCCTTCTCCATCTTCACATGATCCATAAGGCTTTATATATCTGTAATGCACTAATGAGGGTAGTCTAGTGATAATCGTGAATTTGGAAAGCTTTATGGATTCCTTTAAATGGTTATGAAAGTCTAAAGTGACAATTATTTGAGAATGTTGGGAGTAAAACAAAGCTTCAGAATCGATTTATAAGAGACATAATTCGCCACCAACCACCACAATGGGAGAGGTAACTAAGTAATTGAGCCACCAATATCAAAGCTTACTAAATGTACAACAAAAACAACAAAAGACCTGTTTTTTTACTGAATTGCTTAGCAAATGATTTGAAGTGGAAAATTTGAGGATAATAAGCAAGTTGTTCTATCGAAATGAACAAGTCACATAAATACTTACTTTATATGGATTGTAGAGTGATTTCCTTGCAAGTTGTTCAACTTCCTTGGGCCATGTAGCACTCCAGTACAAAGTTTGACGATCTGGACGTATCTACACATCACAACCAAAATCAAAATGAACAATCGGGATTGTCTCAAGGAAAGAGCAAAAGGCACATAGGAAAAAGTGCAACTATCTGTACTAGACTACTAGTGTACTTGTTCCCCATTTTTGAGAATCCTAACTATTGATAACCGAGTGATAAATGCAGATTGGATAATGTTACAATGGTATAAGAATGCACGTGAGGCTCGTGAGCTCATTCCTACTTATTCACGACTTCGAAAAATAGGAATTCCAACTTGCAAACACTGAACAATTGAAAATAAATGTGAACTGCAATCTGCGATGAGGTGTAGGCCTAATCTGTAAGGCATCAACGGGAACACAAATATGGTGTAAATTGCAAGTTTTACTTTCAGTTCACCATATTAGTTACCAAAGCAAACATTCTCATTTACATATATATACAGAATAACAGAACGAGCCCACTATGGAGCTAGTCCATGTAAAGAACATACTCATTAATATCAAATTCACTTAACATATAAACACTTATTATCAAATTATGAACTTTAAATCACAACCAGACTATGCAAGCCCGTTCAATCCTCAAATTATTCTTTTGTGCAGAAGTTAAAAAAAACAGAACAAGAGACTCACAAGCCCCAGTTGCAATATGTAGTGTTACAAAATTTAGATTGACATTATCACATTTATCACAATGGTCGCAGTTACTCTACAAACAAACCTGTGAAACAATTTTTTTAATCTGAGGTTCAAAGCCCATGTCCAGCATACGATCAGCCTCATCCAACACAAGATATGTAACCCGACGCAAGTTTGTGTGATTAGACTCTAACATGTCAATCAATCTTCCAGGTGTAGCAATAACAATTTCAACACCTAAAGCATGTTGCAAGAGTGTGGAAACATAAATATTAGGTGCTCCATAAGAATGATATAACTTAAGAACAGAAGAAGCTGCAGAATATACCCGATCCATCACATCACGACATAGAAGTAAAGTCTTGAGCAGATCACCACCTACCTTTCTGAAGATCGCGGACTTGAGGCCCCTTTGGAACCCCTCCATATATGCAAGTGTTCTTAATCTTTGACGAAGCACCAAACTTAGTAGCTTCTTCTTGGATTTGCACAGCAAGTTCACGAGTTGGAGCTAAGACTAGCACAATAGGACCATCTCCAGGTGCTTTTATACCATATAAGTAGTGTTACATTAATAGTTAAGTTTCTCTGGATAAAGGATAAATGTCCAAATAATATGACCGCGTGAACACCGGGATATACTGGAGAACAATATGTAAATACCTAGAAATGGCTGAGCATTAACATGCACAATTGCTGGAAGAAGATATGCAAGTGTCTTTCCTGACCCAGTTTCTGCAATACCAATGAGATCACGGCCCTTCAAAGCCATAGGCCACCCTTGAGCTTGAATAGGGGTAGGTTCAGTAAAGCCAGCTTTCTCAATTTCATTCATAACATATTCTGAAAATATGACACGTGAAAGATACACACTGATTACGGGAGTTATTCAGCAAAAGAAATACATGTCTCTGGACAGTAGAAGAAATCTAATTTGTATATGTATAGTGTATGAATCTAATAAAAAATAGATCAGTCTGATCATAAAAAAATATTTTTTAAGCACTACACAAATTCAATATAATGGCTAGGAATTAATCCAGGCTTCTTAATGTGTTTGGAATAAAACACAGTCAAATACACCAAAGTTGGATGAAAAAACAGATTTTGCCCATCATTTTGTGTGTTTGGAATAAATCAGAGTCAAATGCACCAAATTTGGAAGAAGAAAAAAAATCAGATTTTGCACAGGAATGTGTACCGGGGAACCCCACATCACTGAAGCTCTTCACGGGTTTAGGCACATCAGGGCCTTCAACTGTAATCTCCCGTCGCAGTCTATACTCATCTACATCCATCTCCGTCATTGCTGCCACGGACCTTGACTCCACATAAAAATTCTTCTCGAATGGGATAAGCCCTTCTAAATCCAATTTCCGCGGTGACTCGGTACCATCATAGTCCTTCCTAGTTCCTGAGGACGGCCTATACGTCGATCCGCCGCCGAATCCAGTGTCACTGAGAAACATTCCAAAACGAAACAAAAATTATAGTTACGAAATCCTCGTTGAAGCTAAGATGAGCAAATCAAATAAGAGAGGACCGTTGGCTTGCTAGGGTTTTACCTTCGGCGGTCGCGATAGCTTCCGGCGTCGGCCGCGCGGCTGTCGTATCTACTCATTGAACGCAGTATTATCTCTGGACAGCAAGTCGTCTAGAATGAGAACAAGGCGCCGGTAAAGGAAACCTATGGTTTACAGCGTGCGGCTGCACATTTGTGCTTCCTGTTGAACCCAATGCCTATCATTTCTGTTCTTTTTCCCTTTTTCTTTGTTCTATAAAAAAATACAAAAAAACCGATTATATAACTTTCACATAATTAAATAAAAGTGAAAAATAAAACAATATTGTTAAAATTTGTTAAAAAGAGAAAACAATAAGCAGTAAAATTTTCTCTTTTGCTAGGTCTTACCCTTTTTTTCATTACAAATAAATTTTATACTCTTTATTATTTTACTTTTCATTGTTAATATTCACTTGGTAGAACATATAAATTCTTAATATGTTACAAGCCTAAAAGACGAGCAACAATGAAGATTAGAAGACTGAAATATGGATTTCCTTTGCCAGCTAGTCAAGGAATTTATATGTTCTATGCGACTACAAATTACACGTGCACCTAATTCATTTTGAAGAATAAATACAACAAGTAAACTATAAGAGACGTCAATTACATTCTTAGACCGTTCTACGAATTTGTAATACTTTATCCATTACTAATATGGGGCAAACTTATTATTTTTACTTTTCAGAAAAACTAAAGAAATGAAATTAATGATTAAAATACATCTAAAAGAGAGAAATAATATAAACCACTTTTAAATTTTTTTTTAGTATAAACAAAAATAAAAAGGTAAATTTTCTACTTGTAGGGCGCAATGAGACCACACCTAGTGCGATAAGAATTTGTTGTTATTGTTGTTGCTTGATTAGTAGAAAGGCGAGTTAAAAAAATATATTCCAAATTTGAACTTCAGTCGTTGATAAAACATGTTTGAATCGATATTACATTGAGTAATATTCGAACTACACCATAGTTGTGTCCTGAATTTGACACCTATCAAATTTTGAATTAAAAATATACACGGAGAAGAGAATCCAAGCCTCATGTAAAAAATTTAATATACCCCAAAAACATTTGTATTATAGAGTATTACTCTAAAATATTATTAAAATAAGGGATATGTTAGGGGTACACCAAAAAGTGTACCCCAAATGTACACCACCCTCCTACTAATCATTCATTTTATTTTGTTTTTATTTTTTAAATTTTGTTAAAATTTTTTTGCTTTTTTTGTGTGGTGATGGAGGGAGTGGGGATGTTTGGGGTACACTTGTAGTGTACCCTACATTTTCCTAAAAATAATCTATTGATTTTAAGAATCCATAACAAAAGTTATCTTCTGTCCAAAAAAAGGGATGTGTCTCTAATAGAGCTGGAGTGGACTGGAATTGGTTAGTTTTCCTCCCCCAAAAAAAAGAGAGAGTTGGGGCTTGGCGTGCGCGCCTAAACCAGGAAGCCATGGCAACTGCTCTCCCACCGCTATCTCCTTCCCGGATGGTGAGGGCTTCTTCAGTCGACACGAAGCATAGACTCTCTTACAATCCTCACCGCACATATCCGCCAACCTCCGGCGCAAGTTCTACGGCACCGTCAGCCATCGTCTCCCCCGCGAACAACCGCCCTGCGATATCAATTTCAGACATCCTCAGACGCGATGCTCCGGAACCGAGTCACGGTATTGTAACCTTACCTGGAATACTTGTTTCTAGTGTTTCTATGGTCTGCGGAGTAGTAGAACAACTGAACAATATTCGCCCGTTTGAGCTTTAATTCATGCCAATGATTTATGCAATTAGGCAAATTACCTGAAACATATTTGGGTTATGAGACGTGGTTGCCGAGTCCGCCCAAAGTGGAGAAGCCTCGCTCAGTCTTCAATGCAGCAGCACTAGCTTATATGGGAGATTGCATTTTCGAGGTGACAACATCTCTAGCTCTTTGTTTTTAAAAACATACTCTGTAAATAAATGAACAAGGGGTTTTCTAAGGTGTGTCACGACTCACGGGGATAAGATGAAATTAGTGTTCAACTTCAAGAAAGGATCTAACAAAGTTAAAGAAACAGGGAATGTGATTTTAAAAATCAAAATGATTTGTCACTGAAGTTTGTAGACTCGGCTACATGGATCAAACGATTCCATTGCGCCCTATCATGCATCATATCTTCCAAAAACCCAATAATTAAATAAATTAAATCGCAATCTGTAAATTAAGTGTGCACCGCGCCACCGCCCCAATGACAAGGAAGTCCTTGACTTGTGCAGATTTAGCTATTTTGGTTCATTGGTAAAAAGATTTCACTTTGGTCACTGACTTGTGCAGATTTAGCGATTTTGGTTCATTGTTGTTCATTTAAAAAGGTCCTCATATCATTATGCTTGGAGTTTTTTGTTATTAAACACATCATATTCTATCTTTTTTATTTAATCAATAATTGCTAAACGATTATGATGTGAGTATGTTTTACCCATTGACATTAAACACTAGCAAATATTTGATGTTTTTTGAGCTATAGGATGTTAGCTCAAAGGATTAAATTCACAAATTTGAGGACTAAAAGTGCAAAAATGTGACCCAACTACGAATTATATGTAGAAAAATGGGCAACCAAGATTCCAAACAACAAATCACGTACTATTCAGGGACCAAAATTCCAACAAACTCTTATATAAAGTTATTATTCAGCCACATGTGTTGTATGTCCTATTTAAAATGTAACCATGTAAGCAGTTATATGCTCGAAGGCACTTTTTGTTCCCACCATTGAACATTGAAGAACACAATGATCGTGTGATGGCAGTAGTTCGCTGTGAGGCTCAAGTAAGTCCATTCCTTCATTATTTAACATTTTAGCTGTCATTTGTGGTTTGTATTCGATTATGGGCGAGGGGCTTACTTTTCTTGACTTACTCCTCCTTTTAATAACATCTATGTTTTGCCACTATCTCCTAGAACTTGTGTTGTCCACGGATGAACACTACTAGCATATGCATCATTTGACATTTCTACACTTGTTCTCATTGATAATTTCTATTTCCTAATGTAGTTTTCCTTAAATAAGGTAATCATATTACACATGCACACAGCTTGTAGATAAATCATGATCATCCTATAAAAGCTGTAGTCTTTCCCCCACTGACTGTGTGCGTATGGGTGCCATTATGTTCTGTTATGTGAGAGAGACTGAGTGGATATGCAAATATTGGTGCCTAACACTTCGGTGGGGGAATAGTATATCATGTGATCGGTACATTCCAGGATGTTATGTTTTTTTCTGGCTGAATTTCAGGATGCAATGTTGCAGAAACTCATGAAGGACAAATCCTTATCAGAAGAAGAAAGGTCAGTAGTGCATTTGTAGAGTATTGTAATAGAAACATGATAATTAACCTAAATATGACTAGAACATAATGACTTTCTCAGTATAGGACCATATGTTTTTACTCGGGGTATTTCCCAATGTAGGACCATTGGTCATTATCTATTAGTCATTATTCAAGTAATCACTGGACATTATTCCTCCTACTAGACATTGTTAAGTCTTATTTAGGGAATAAAAAATTTTAAGTCCTACATTGGGAAATGACTTATATTTTAGTCCTATTTAGTGCAAATTTTTCTAGAAACCTAGGTATGCAATTCATGTTGATTTTGACCTGATCAAAGAGGAAATTGCAGAGTCAAGGACGGTTCCGATATTTCAGAGAACCTGCACAAAAACTATTAGAATTTGGCATTTAGGCCCTAATGTTTGTAATACATGAATTTCCTACTAATATTCATAAACATTCTCTTACCCAGTTAAGAGTTTATTTTAATTTTAACATCTATAACAATTCAAAGAAAAGTGAAATGAGACTTCATAAGCACAAAACCCTATATTTATTTTATTTTAGATTCTAGCTATATTCTTCTTCTTCTCCGTCAGCAGCAGTGCACCAAGAGAATAAGTGAATAGCCATAGTCATGGAAAGTTTCATCAAGTAATAGTATTCATTCTGTTAAAAGAAGTTTTGTATGATCAAGCTACAGCAGTTTAATTTTTGCGATGCACAACTCTTTGAAGTCATGGTATCCTAGTTTTTCTTTTAATTTCCTTCTTAGTTTAGCTATATTTATCATATTGAATTTGTTTGTAACTATTGTTGGCAAATTATATGAAATTTTAGTTCCGTTTTTTGAAATCTGACTCCTATCTTGGGACAAAAGAAACTTTTGAAACAGTTGAGGAGGGGTAAGTTTTTACCAATTTATTGGTGTAAGATTGTTACACACTTACACCAATTCAAGGGTACCTACGTTGCTCCGTTGATTGTTCTTTGTTCCCACCCTCTAACCGTTTAGGTAAACCCCCCAGCCCGGCCGTCTCCAACGCACCCCAGCACCCACTCCAATTTCATTACACCAATTTTGGTAAAGGGCTTTTCGTGCAGAACACTACATACTTGTACTAGTTTCCAAATGTAGAATACTAAAAAGACACGAAGTTCGTAAATTTGCCATGGAATATCATGCGCGGGATATAATCTTAACATCTGACAGCCTTTTTTAAAATACTTGCATTTTAGGGCAGTGCTTCGTTGGGGAAAGAATATTGGTTCTGGGAAAACAAGGACAAAGAAACGTGCTGGTGTAGCTGTTTACAAGCAAGCATCCTCACTTGAAACACTTGTTAGTTTCTCTTACTAACTGTAAAGAATATGCAGTATATTATGTGAATGCTTATAAATCAATATACAGTTTGGCTCGCTATTCATATGTTGCTTCCTATACGCTTATATATACGAATTTAAATAAGTTTGCTGATCATCGCCACCACCACCACCACCATAATGTCGACTAGTTGTGATCAGTGGCAGTAAACCCGTAGTTCCAATTAATTGAATGGAATTGAGTGAGACCATAAGTTCAAGCAAAAACATAGCCGCAATATCTTAGATGCCCTTCGTGTCACAACATTCATAAGAAGGAATGATGAGATGAGAATTCTAAAACTATGATCACTATAGCTTATTCCACATGATATAACAACTAACAAGATGACAATGATCTGAGATCTTCGTTTGTATCATGTTCCACCACAAGATTGATACTGTTACTCGACCTACAAATCGTCGAACACGATGATGACAATGCCCATTGGATCAACTTGAGAAAATATGTTGAATGTATTTCCATTTGAAAAGAAAAGATGTAGCGAGTATATTTCCATTTGAAAAAGGGAAAAAATTACGAGTATACTTCCATTTGATGCTTTACTAGTTGAGTATGTTATAGCCTTTTCTGTCTCCCGGTGCTAAATATGTGATTGATTCTTTTTTTTTCCTTTATAACCCTGATATACATTTTCAAAGTAGTAGTTCTTTTTGCAGATTGGTTACTTGTATTTGACAAATGTGACACGGCTTGAAGAGATCATGGTTAAGTTAGGCTTCTGTAATGGAGCTTCTTCTCTAATTTTAGTGGGAAACACAGGTGGAGAGGTCATACCTGCAAAAGTTGATGTCTAAGATTTTATATTTGTGTATGTACTACTTGTACAAAAATCTTTCTTATTGGTTACTACCAATAGAAAAGACGTGTAAACCTCATCTTATGTTTTTCGCGGTTTACTTTTTGTCCTCTAAGCTATTTTTGAAAGCCAACCCATCATATCTGTCCAAATTGGGTCGATTTGGGGCTTTCCCATTCTCAAATTTAATGGCATCATAGCATCATCCATTATGTTTGGATACTCTTTTATTCAAAAGCTATAATAGCACAAATTAAAATTTAAATATAAATTTTGATTGATAATATCAGATTTTTAAACTAGAAATGGTTGACATCATGAAGCTTTCTCTCTGCTAAGTAGAAGGGATTTGCTAGGGGTATCCTAATTAGTATTATCTTGTTGGTCTTGTTATTTCCAATATTATTTTTGGCTCTCTTCTCTCCATTCATTTTTAAAAATACCATGAATTTTACAATCGTCTTGTTTTCTTTTCAATTAAGATGAAAATAATGATAGGACAAAGGGAGTAATATTTTTTTAAAATAAAATTTAAAAGACTATGCAAACATAATGGATGATGCTTGATGCTATGAAAAATAAACGAGCATGTGCATTTTATTGGATGCATGTGACACTAAAATATGGATATATTGAGATGCTTAGAAATATAATGAGATGGGAGAAAACCAAAATACAAATAAAATATAAAAAAATTAAAACAGAATCTTAATGTTTTTATTCAATAAAGTCAATATATAACAACAAAAAAGTAATGTGAACTACTAGTATATCGGTCCGGTTCCAGTGACACCGGAAAATGGTGCCACTGGGTTTTTGATTGCATAATAGCCACACATTTTGTGTGGGGGTTACGGCGGGGTTGGGGTGGGGGTAGGGTGGGGGGGTTTAGGGGATGTGTTAGGGGGGTAGGAACCGTCAATTTTACGAACGAAGCACCAGAGGTGCCTCAAAAACCCAGTGGCACCACTAGTGGCACAGTTCTCTGGTGTCACTAGAACCGGGCCGCTAATATATAGTGTCTCATTGTAAAGTCTTATTTTGGGATAGATGTAGGTCACTTCTATTATGAGGATAATAATCATGTTTTACTCATATTTTGATTGATTTTTTAAATTTGAAATTTAGAGCCTAAAGTGTAAATAGTGAAAATGATACTCCACATAGTCCCAAAATAATTTCCAATGACTATTTAATTAAGACAAACAAATCATTTTTTTCACTTAACACTCTCTTCATCCTGACAGAATCCTAAAATAGTATGGTCTTCGAGGGTATTTGTATGCAAACCTTACCTTATTCGAAAATAGAGAGACTGCTTCTAAAGAAACTCGACCCAAGCATTGCATGTAATGACGTATGTAGCCTAACCCTTATGTTTAAAAAATAGAGTGATTGTTTCTGGATGACCCATGATGAATGTCAAACGTTACAATGTCTAACCACTACTTCACTATTAAAAGAAACGCAGACATTTTTAAAAACCAAAGCAAAATGTAGTGAATTTTTAACTCCATTGAAAATGATTGATACACTTATTTTTGTTAATTATTTATTAAAATAATATAGTCATATCACATTTCTATATAAAGAATTTGCATATTTGAATATATACATTTTATTTTGAAATTTTATACTATTATTAAAGAATGAAATGAAAAATAAATTCAATTCAATTTCGTTTGGGAAAGAGTATTTGTAAATAAAATATTTATATCACTTCTAATGTTGCAAAATTTTTAATTTATTTTTAATTAAGTTTCGATTTTAAATTTTATTTAATTATTTAATTAAATTTAATAAAAAATAATTCAATCTAATAATATTAAATAAAGGAAAATAAAAGGTGGTCATCCAAACACTCCAAAGGACGGCGGAAGACACAGTATGACCCTTTTACTATTCTCAGTAGGTCCGCTCTCCCTGCCCTCTTTTTAACTTTTACATGCTCCAAAATGTCAACAAAATTTCTTGCCAGCCAACCCCATCCATTCCACTGTAAAATCATGCGCACTTCCATTTCCCATAATCACCACCGCATTTTTCCGTGACAGAGAAAAAGAAGGGAGAAAGAAAAAGGGAAGAGAGAATAAAGCGCAGAAAAGAAGGAGAAGAGTGGGGATTATTAAAGCCTCAATAATCATATAGCACAAAACCTCCAGTTTGGTGAGACTGGGACAATAATAATAATAATAATGGGTCTGAAGCTTTTGGTGGTAGCAGTCTCACTGGTTTCTTTCCTCTCTCTTGGAAATTCTTCATCATCAGTTTCATATGATAAGAACTCTTTTATTGTCAATGGCCAAAGAAAGATCCTCATCTCTGGATCCATTCACTACCCAAGAAGCACACCTCAGGCATATATATATATATATATATATATATATATATATATATATATATATATATATATATATATATATTCAGTCTTTCATTTCCTGCTCATCAATCTGCTTTCTGAGTTCTGTTTTCTGTTTCTTTTTTTCTTTTCTGCGCGAAAGATATTTGGCAAATGGGCATTCTTTAGCTCTTTGTTCTGATGATTATGGATGTGATTTATGAATTTATCATTTGGTTCTGGCGAAAGATTAAATTTTTAGGACAGGACACATTTAAGCCTCTTAAAAATTCTTCTTTTCTTCTTCTTCTTTTATGTTCACAGATGTGGCCTGGGCTTATTCAGAAAGCAAAGGAAGGAGGTTTGGATGTGATCCAAACTTATGTTTTCTGGAATGGTCATGAACCTCACCAAGGAAAAGTAAGGTTCTGAAATATGATTCTTTGGAGAGTTGTATTTTCCTTCATTTACTGATTTTACTGTTGGAGTGGAATTTTTCAGTATCACTTTGAGGACAGGTATGATATTGTGAAGTTTATTAAGCTGGTTCAACAAGCTGGGCTCTATGTTCATCTCAGAATTGGGCCTTATGCTTGTGGTGAATGGAATTTTGGGTAATGATAATGATAACTGCAAGTTTCAAATATTCTGTTTTTGTGACTGATGTCAAAGTCATGAGCTTTTGTTTTATGCTATATATGTTAAAAAAATTAGGGGATTTCCAGTTTGGTTGAAGTTTGTTCCAGGCATTAGTTTCAGAACAAACAATGAGCCTTTCAAGGTTAGCCGCTTTGTCAAAACTCCCTTACAATTAGTAACTAATTTGGAATGATTGGTTTCTGATTATGGGTTGCAATTAATTGCTCATTTGTCTCTTTCCCAAAACAAATGTCAAAAAACAGTCTGCAATGCAAAATTTCACCACCATGATTGTCAATATGATGAAAACAGAAAGTTTGTACGCATCCCAAGGCGGTCCAATTATCTTATCCCAGGTGAATTACATATCCTTCCCTCAGTAAATCATGTACCCTGATTAGAATTTACTTCCCTTAGGTGAGGCTCTCCCATCTAGTCTAAATTTCCAACCCATGGCCCTATAAACCCATGTGGTACTCTTAGCACTTGCCTGTTATAGTAATATGATGGATCTTTGTCAAATTCCAATGACAGATTGAGAATGAATATGGGCCGGTAGAGTACGAAGTGGGTGAACCAGGAAGACTGTATGCCCGGTGGGCAGCCCAAATGGCTCTGAATCTTGACACAGGTGTGCCGTGGGTGATGTGCAAGCAAGACGATGCCCCTGATCCAGTTGTAAGCTGTCTCTGTCTCTTAAGTCAATCTTTTTGTCTTCCAGGCAGTCTATACCTTCGAGTAGGGTTAAGGTTTGCCAACACACACCCTCCCAAGACTCTACTTTATGTGGGATTTTACCGGGTTTGTTTTTGTTTGTTGTTGTATGCATTGACGATAGAGTAGTGCGGCCATATCCCTCTATGTTGTCTAGTTCTTTTTTTGTCCCTTATGGATGTTCATGTGAATTGTTTAGACTATTTTCACCCCCTTCACATGGCCTGTCTTTATCTATAAAAGGACATGATGATAATAATTAATAATCACAACCACTGGCCTTTGGCTCCTGCAATTTCTTGATTATTGAACAGATCAGTTCAACTTAAGGTGTAGATGTCTGCAAACAAGTATTCTTTTTGGGCCTATTTTGGTGGAGGGTTTTTTAGGGAAAGACTTTGAAGGGCTTAATCTATATCATGACAAATATAATAATTGTCAAAATTTTGCAATAGAATAATTGTCGAAACGAATGACCTTCCAAATAGCCCCTAAAGGATTAAACCAGAGGCAACGTTTTTTCATATATGATTTAGACTGTAATTTCTTTGTATGAAGTATTATTTTTACCTGTAATTTCTATACAAGCTGCAATATTTATTTGTGCTCTTCTCCTTATACATTATGTATTGCTCAATATAAATTCACGATTCTATTCCCTTTCCAGATCAATACTTGCAACGGCTTTTATTGTGACTACTTTACCCCAAATAATGCCAGTAAACCCAAGATGTGGACCGAAGCGTGGACTGCCTGGTTATTTGAATGCTTACTTTATATACTCGGAATTCTTTAGAAATTGACTTTTTACAGGTAATGGTGTCGAAGTTCATACCATAGCTTCTTTTTTGTTGTAGGTTTACTGAATTTGGAGCTCCAGTACCTTACCGTCCAGCTGAGGATATGGCTTATGCAGTTGCAAAGTTCATAATGTATGGGGGATCTTTCATCAATTATTACATGGTAGTCATTGTTTGTTTCTTCATCCATTTTCTTTATGGTAAATTTCCCACTACAAATGGTATTTATGTTTTTAATAAAAAAAAATACCACTCTTTGATCTCTTGGCCAGTATCACGGGGGCACGAACTTTGGCAGGACATCTGGAGGTCCTTTTATTTCCACCAGCTATGACTACGATGCCCCTCTTGACGAGTTCGGTAAGAACCAAAATGTACTTCAGTCTAAGATTTAGTCCTGGCTATACATGGATTTGTACGACAACAATGTCCAACTAAATCAAAAAAATATTTAAGTTATATTTTCTTTCAACGACAAAAGGGTTATTACGTCAACCTAAATGGGGTCATCTGAAAGATCTGCATAGAGCAATAAAGCTGTGTGAGCCAGCATTAGTATCTGGAGATCCAACTATAACATCACTTGGACCCTCTCAAGAGGTTCGGTTTACTACTTGATACCAATCTTTCTTCACACCCGCTATATGCATATTTCTCCGCTTATTATAATTATTATTATCACTATTATTATTGTTATTATTAATTCCACAGGCTCGTGTGTTCAAATCAAATAATGGAACTTGTGCAGCGTTCCTTGCAAACCATGACCAACATTCGTTTGCTAAAGTGGCGTTTGGAGAAATGCATTACCACTTACCGCCTTGGTCTATCAGCATCCTTCCGGATTGCAAGAACACCGTTTATAATACCGCAAGGGTGAGTGAATTCAAATGTTGAGGATATAGTGTCACATCGTACACTTAGGCCAAAAAAATGAAAGACCAGACCTTTCTTCGAACATTTCTCTGTGTAGTTTTAAGGTATTGACTTTAAACTAGGTTTTAACATGAAGGTTGGTGCCCAAACTGTACAAATGACAATGACTCCCGTTGGTGAGGGGTTCTCTTGGGAGTCATATAATGAAGAAGCACCCTCTTATGATGACAATATGTACACAGTTGTTGGGTTGTTGGAGCAGATTAACACCACTAGAGACGCTTCTGATTATTTGTGGTACATGACAGAGTAAGTTTGATCTCTTATAAACTTGAAAAGGATTTTATACTTTGATGCTGTTTTATCATAAAAATGGCGTACTTCTTCTCATTTCCAGGGTCAACATTAATCAAAGCGAAGGGTTCTTGGAATATGGGTATTCGCCTTGGCTTACTGTCTTCTCCGCTGGACACGCTCTACATGTGTTCATAAATGGTCAATTAGTAGGTACACACATTATGTTTCTTTTGCATCTTTTAAATAAACCCAAGAAAGCTGACAATAAGGCTCCGTTTGGTGCACGGAATCTAGGCCATGGAATTGGAATTGAAGGCTTCACTTCCGATTCTGCTGTTTGGTAGCACAAACATATGTGAGATTGGAATTGATTTGTAATTACAATACAATTCTATATAAATTCTTTAATTATACCAAACAAAGGATTTGGAATTGAATTAGAGTTCAATTCCATAGAATTTCAATTATATTCCACTTCTGTATACCAAACGGAGCCTAAGTCTCAACATCAAACACTCATAGGCAATAAGATGAGAAAGTTTAGAGATATGATGTGGGGTATACTTGAATTCATCTCGATCAATGTTTTGGCAGGAACGAGTTACGGAAGTTTAGAGAACCCAAAAATAAGTTTCAGCCAAGGGGTACATCTGGTGGCGGGTGTGAATCAAATATCTCTGTTGAGCATTGCCGTTGGCCTTCCGGTCTGTTGCCTATTTATCTAGTCTAGTATAAAACACAGCATATATGATTCCTACATCTTCTTCATACACACACATGTATAGAATGTGTAAATGAAATAACATCTTTCTAATAATTAACAGAATGTTGGCCCTCATTATGAGACATGGAATGCCGGCGTTCTTGGCCCGGTATCACTTAGTGGTCTAAAAGAAGGAACCAGAGATTTAACATGGCAGAAGTGGTCTTACAAGGTTTGTTGGTTCCACTTTCTGTCTTCCCATTACGCTCTTCAAACATTTGTATCTGTTTTTCTAAAAAAAAAAAAAACTGATCGAGTGGATGTGCATGCCATCTTATATATATACATCAGATTGGTCTTAAAGGCGAAGCTTTGAATCTTCATTCATCTAGTGGGAGCTCTTTAGTGGAGTGGCTTCAAGGTTCTTTTGTTGCACAAAGACAGCCTCTCACTTGGTATAAGGTCAGTTGGTTATTCTCATCAATATGGCATATATTCTTGAACCATTTGAGACTCCTACGAACGATAATGCTCCGTTCAATGCCGAATTGGGTTTTTCTTTTTTTTGTGGGCGCGCAGAGTACATTTGATGCTCCGGATGGAGATGAAGCATTGGCATTGGATATGAGTACGATGAGTAAAGGTCAGATATGGGTCAATGGGCATAGCATCGGACGACATTGGCCCTCAAACAAAGCATCTGCCTCCGCGGGTTGTAGCTTCTGCAACTATGCTGGTTGGTTTGACGAGAGAAAATGTCTCGGCAGCTGCGGAGAAGCCTCACAACGATGGTACGTACGGTGGTGATGGATCGATACCAATAATCATATCGTGTTTGATTTTTGTCTTCACCTTTTCCCTCGCAACGATCGATATGGATGAAAAGTTAACGCACATGCAGGTACCATGTTCCTCGGTCGTGGCTACGGCCGACGGGAAACCTGCTGGTCATTTCGGAGGAATGGGGGGGGAATCCGTTCGGCATCTCCCTGGTCAAACGGGAGGTGGGAAAGGTGTGCGCACAGATGTATGAGTGGCAGCCGCAGCTGATGAACTGGCGGCTGCAATCCACCGGCAAAGTCAACAGGCGGCTCCGGCCAAAGCTTCACCTCTCATGCGGCTCCGGCGGAAAGAACATCACCTCCATCACCTTTGCTAGCTTCGGAACGCCGGAGGGGAAATGCGGCGATTTCCGGCAGGGGAGCTGCCACGCTGCCAATTCCTATGACGTTTTCAACAAGGTACGTACACAAATCCTCTCTAGCTATACTTTCTCCCTTACTTTAAACATTTTTCAAATTTTCCTCAAAACACTTCCACCTTCTATTAAAAAATTACTTTACCCATACTTTTTCTTACCTTACCTATCACATCTTACTTTTTTTATTAATAACTTATTATCATATCTTATTTTTATCCATCACATCAAGGACAAAATTGAAAAATCAACAACAAATATGCACTCATTATTTCTTCTAAAAGTCAAAATAACAGTTTTATGAAACGGAAGGAATATATATTTCAAACTCATGTGATTTACTTAATTTAATTTAATTGGCATCAATTTAACTACAACAAATCATAAGATTAATTGCTGCTCTGCTCTATATATATGGTGCATATATATATATGGCATGCATGCATGCAGTCATGCATGGGGAAGAATTCATGTACCATAGATGTAACTCCGGAAGTATTTGGAGGGGATCCGTGTGCTGATGTCATGAAGAAAGTGGCTGTTGAGGTTGTTTGCAGTAGCATTAATTAATATTCCCTCCCTCCGGTGATGACTGATGATGTTACACATTCGTTTTTCTTTTCTTTAGCTTTCTAATTAAATTGGCCCTCTTGCCGATCTGATCTGATCGATTTATGTAATCTTACATTCTCATTATATAATTAGTTACTCAATAATATGTAGCTAGGGACTTGTCTGCAATTTAAAGATGGTATGCCGGCCAATCTATAATATAATTAATCACTTCACTAACATATATATATTGATATATAGTAGTATACATATGGATTGCTCTTCAATATATAAAAGCAAGCACCTACATAACATATATAGATAAGGAGGCCAGGCTAGCTAGGATATATAGGCTAGGCCGCTAGGGAGACATACATACATGGCATTGTACTACGTACTTAATTAGCGCGGACACAAGATATACTATGCATATTTAAGTAATTTAAACGCCTTCAACGAAGCGGAGATATTCCTTGCCGGAGGGAAGCTCGGCGGTGGTGAAGCCCTGCGGAAACATCTTCTTCGTTTCGTTGCTTGAGACGGAGGGTGCAATGACCACAGCGTCCCCCGGTTTCCAGTTCACCGGGGTAGCAATCTTATGCTCCGCTGCCCTTTTCAGGGACTCCAACACCCTCACCACTTCTTCCATGTTTCTTCCCGTGCTCCCCGGGTACAAAAAGCTCAGCTTTATCTGCACCCGGCCACATGCATACATTAATCCTCAAATGTCTTATTTATCATCAATGTATAAATACCTTCTTGTCGGGACCAACAATGTGGAGAGCGCGAGAAGGGACGTTGTTACCAGAGGGATCCTTCTCGTCGGGATCGACCATGTTGAGTTGCTTGATGAGTTTCCTGTCGGGGTCTGCAATGATAGGGTAGTTGACCTTGTGGCCGCCGTTGTAGGACTCGATGTCCTTGATCCACTTCTTGTGGGACTCCACGTCGTCGCACGACAGCCCGATGAGCTTCACCCCGCGTTCCGCGAACTTGCCGGCGTACGCCGCCATCATCCCCAGCTCCGTCGTGCACACCGGCGTGAAATCGCCCGGGTGGGAGAAGAGGATGACGTAGGAGTCACCGACGTAGTCGTGGAGATTGATCGTGCCGTGTGTGGTTTCCACACGGAGTTTTGGGATTTCGTCTCCGATGGTGAGGCCCGGCATGATGTTATATATACACTAGCTGCGATATATAGGATGAACTGTACTAGAAATAATTAAACCGGCGGGGAGAGAAGTTACGAATATACAGGAGGAGGTTGTCGTCGGTCGGAGATATATAATAATGGTGAAGGATGGCCGGCGGGGAGGGGTATTTATTTATTTATATATTTACAACGAATTAAGAAGAAGGGGAATGGAGTACGACGTCGTAGTGGCGTGCATGCATGGAGGGAACGTGGCAGGAGACGTGGGTACATGCATGCAACTTCCCAATTCGGTTACCGGCCAGCTTCCTCGTACGCGTGGCATTCTCCGGGAATTAAGTACTCTTGAATATAATTCCACTACAAGAAATTAAAAGAAAAATTATCCCCCGCTCCCTCTGCTAAAGTTTTACCCTTTATTTTTTCCTAAAGTTATTGCTGCTAGGAAGGGGGATTAGCGCGTGTTGCAGTTTTTTCATTTTCCGGAAATGAAAATTATTTTGATGAAAGTAAAATGCCTTAGCCCGAGTTACGTTTCAAGTACCCGAGCTTAACCGACCTCGAACCGAGAATAAAATAATCCGAACTCGACCCGAAATTTTTTATCCGAACCCGATATTGGGTCGGGTGTGGTTTATTATTTTACCCAACCCGAGCCCAACCCGCACCCGACCCGACTCAAACCCGAATATTTTATAACATAAAAGCCTATCTATGGATATAATGAACACTTCGTATAATCTCTTGACAAAGTGCTACTATATCAGGTATGCATTTTATAATCATTTTTATAATTTCTAAATTAAAAAAAATGAGACACAAAAAAATTTGATGTAATCTTTTTAATATTATTGGGGTACACCGAATTGATTATTGGTTAAAAGTCGGGTTCGGATTTCTGGTTGGAATGTCGGGGTCGGGTCGGGTTTTGACTTTAAAAAATTGGGTTTCGGGTCGGGTTTCGGTTTTAAAAGTCGGTTCAGGTCCTGGTATAGTACTATCTGATCCGAACCCGACCCGTTTCCATCCCTAGACTAACACACCACCTCTACAGTTGCGGGCCTTCCAATATTTTCACAAGTTTCCCTAAAAAAATTGGGCTAAAGCATGGACAATAGATGAGACGACTAACAATGTGAATATATTTTTGTGCATCAGTAATCAGCGAAGAAGCATTTGTGGAAAAATACAAAAATATGAAAAAAATATAGAAAAAGAATCAAAATAGAAATCCCATATCTTTATTCGGATATTTACCTAAATATGACTAAAACATAATGATTTTCTCAATAAATGACCATATGTGTTTATTTTCCAATAAATGACCATTGGTCATTATCTATTTGTCATTATTCAACTAAATGTCCAGCATCACTTGAACATTAATTAACTAGTCATATTTAGAGAATAAAAAAGTTTAAATTCTACATTGGGAAATGACTTATGTTTTAGTCCTATTCAGTGCAAATTTCACATTTTTTTATTTTCAAAATAGAACCGGACGGATTAATTAAAAAAATCAACGCTGCCAATTTTCAAAACGGTCATTTCTAATAAGGTATTTTCCTGAAATAGTTCTCAATAAACAATAATTACGAACATTGTTCTTTCTAATTGAGATCTATTTCCTAGATAGTCTTTTTTTAAAAAAAGGACTATTAAATGAAAGTTAAACATATGGTATTTTTATACTCCTTATTTTCCATCATCTAGACATAAAGTATGTTCTCGAAATACTATTTTTTTTAAATTAAGTATTTTTTCAAACTGATAATTTCTAAGAAAATGTTTTCCCGAATGGAGTCCATGAGCCTACTCGGGGTGGATCTGTTTCTCTAGCACCCACTTACTTAATTTGAAAGGACTATTTAGAGAATTTATTCATTGTTTAGCATATGGAAAATACAAAATTACCATTTATTTAATTATCAATTATTAACATGCATTTTTGAAAGACGACTATTTAGAGAATATATCTGAATTACAAAGGATTATGTTGTTAATTATTGCTTATTGAGGACTAATATGAAAAAATATTTTATCCGAAAGGACCGTTTTGGAAATTTACTCAATATTCAATGCAAAGATGATAATGCATGTGAACAAAAAGTCATTGAATAATGTCAAAAATGTCAATGTATAATGTCAAATTCATAATAAAATGCTAAGAACTAATGTGATTTACCAACATATATACAATGTCACACTCACATTATAGATCATACTTTGATTCCAAAATTAACAAAATTTATTGGGAGGTGCACATGAAGAAGGTGAGAGCTAGGTTCAGGTCGGGCCAGAGTGGAGAGTTACTGAGGACGTTAGGAGGGTCGTGTGGATTATCAATGTTTTGAAATTGTCACCTTTTTTTCTATTCCAATATTTTACTTTCAACTAGAATCTTTCATTTATCGTTCTTACTAATTATTAATCAAATTATCACATCATACTTATTATAATTAATTTTATTTATTATAATTGATATGTGAATCACTTCATATTTATTCATTATTTTAATAAAATAAGGGTAAAAAAAATACAGGGAGTCACTACAAAAAAACTAATGAAAGCCAAGCGGCATATTTTAAAGACTGTTAAAATAACGAAGTCGCCGGGACAAGAGCCATTCTGCTCTTCGTCTTCTTCTCCAAACCATGTCGCCAGCTGCTCGAACGTAGAAACACAAATTCAAATGCATTCTTAAATTATTAGTTTTAATTTCCTTTGAAATTTCTTATCTGATCTCATCCCGGCCACCATTGTCAGAGCCGCTTCGCCTCAATCAGATGGGTACGCGCCTTCACCTTATCCCCTCTGATCTCCTTCGTTTCGATTCCTATATATATATATATATATATATATATATATATATATATATATATATATATATATATATATATATATATATATATATATATATATTTCTCATTATTAAGTATTTTGCATGTGTGTGAAACATCAATCATTTAATTAATGACGATCCGGTTTTAATTCATTCCATCATTTCAATCATTTTCGATCAATTTCTTTTGTGTTATAAAACGCTTCTGTCCGTTTCTCCCAATGTCATTCATTGCATCGTTTATATATATATCACTGTATCGAGGAACTCAATTCTTTTTCTTTATCCAAGAGGTCCAAATCAACGCATAATTGCTCTTAATAATACATATAAACATTACTGTTTGTTTATATTTTGGAGAAGAGGACGATACAAATTGAGATGATTAATCGAGGAGTATTAGACTTTGGACTATACAAGCAACATAGTTTGGTTGGTAATGGGTGTGTAGTAGATTCATTTCAGTTTTTGTTTTGTCATTACAGCAAATTAAACTCTCTACATCATAGATCTTCCCAGACACTATTAACTATTCACACAGTCAAACTTTAATTATATATATATATATACATCATAGTTTTTGTTTTTGTTTGCTCATTTTTACTAGTCATTTCGTAAAATATTATAATCTTGTCACATCTAGTTTTGTAGAACTTTTCATGTAGTTTATTACTATATAAATATTATTCTAAAATTTTACTCCTATAATCAATTAAATTGAATTGAAAATAAAGTCGGTCAAGCCTCGTAACACGTAATGGAAAGATCTTAGGTTGACGGAGTGAGTATTAGGTTGTTGAATGGTTTAGAGATTGAATGTTTCTTCCCGGTCTCGATTGGTTTGAGCTTAAGCATAATAGTTTGGGGATAAAAATGAAATAAGCTATATATACATTTGGGACATTACCATTCTATCAACATTCAATATTGGTTTACAACTTATTCACTTTTTATGTAATACGAAGTATAAGTTAGGTTGTGGAGCCTGATTAATATTTGATGTACTGTCCATTCTCCATTTATTCTATGTAACTGTACTCTGAGTCATTAAGATTATGATATATATACCCCACCGCCGTGGAAGTTTACTCACGGAGTGTTACCACGTTATTCATGTGTTCACTTTTCTCTCTCTAGCTTTACAAATCTCTCTCGTTTTTCATCATCTTTTCCATCTGATTTTGTGTGTGAGTGGATTCGATCCTAACAATGTTAAGTATTCAATGCTCCTGCATGTGTACTCTTAAAACCGTGAAACAGAAAGCTTTTGGATACTGAAGGGGGATTCTATATAACTTTTTGTATGCATTTTTTTTTGTTTCCATAAGTTGTTAGCAGAGGATATAGATCATTGTGCCTTTTTTTAGTGATGAATTTAACTTCTTTCATATTCCCAATGTTGAGTATAAGTTGCTATCTTAATTGCTTGTTTCAGATGAAACTGAGGGGTGCTGTTCAACTCAACTCATTGATGGGGATGGTAACTTCAATGTTGCTGGAATTGAAAATTTCATGAAGGAAGTTAGGCTAGCAGAATTTGGACTTTCATACGTTGTAGTATCAATAATGGGTCCACAGAGTAGTGGTATGTCTTGATTTTCGAAAAGGATCTTCCTAATTCTTACAATTGTAGTACATTTGTTATTTGGTTGGCATGAAAATCATTTTCATATTCATTAAAGCCCTCATTGAACTTATTAAGATTCTTTTTTTCTTTTGCATTTTTTATATTTGATGGTCCACTCTTTTGATACCTTAACTACCTTATTGTTTTCGTGATTTTAACAGGAAAGAGTACATTGTTAAACCATCTATTTCATACAAATTTTCAAGAGATGGATGCTTTTAGGGGAAGGCAAGTGGTCATCAAGCTCCTATAGCATGCCATTTGAGTGTGCGTTAAGAATGAATCTGTTTGATCTTCTTCTTATTCTTAGGTCACAAACAACAAAAGGAATTTGGATGGCTCGTTGTGTTGGGATTGAGCCTTGCACACTTGTCATGGATTTAGAAGGCACTGATGGAAGAGAGCGTGGAGAGGTATGGCGGCTAAATAAGCTTCTTCATTGTGCATCATAAACGGTGATGCACAAGAGCATTGTTTCTTATTTGGTATTGTGTTTTTGTTAATTAGGATGATACAGCATTTGAGAAGCAAAGCTCCTTGTTTGCCCTTGCTGTTTCTGATATTGTTCTAATTAACATGTAAGTTTGTCTTTACCCTATTTTGGGTAAACATATGACATGCATTTCTCAATTATATACACATACATAGATAAGGGTGAATCTTTAGGTGGTGTCATGATATTGGTCGTGAGCAAGCAGCAAACAAGCCTCTATTGAAAACGGTTTTCCAGGTACAATGCAACATGTACATTCTTGGCTTACAATAAGAAAAGATGGAAGGTGATTTACTATATCAACAATGTCGCAAACAGGTCATGATGCGTTTATTTAGTCCCCGCAAAACAACTTTGATGTTTGTTATACGCGATAAAACAAGGGTATGATCCTTCAATCTTCTTCTTGCGTTGTGGAAATTCATGAATTTGATAACATGATTGCTTAATTTAATGAATGCGATTCAAAAATGTGTTTTATATAGACACCTCTTGAAAATTTGGAGCCTGTTTTGAGGGAAGATATTCAGAAGGTACTGCATGCTACCTTTACTGCTGTTGTTGTTGTTATCACCACCATCATCAATATCACTATCATCATCATCATCACAATTTTGCAGTTGACTATTATTCTTCACTTTTTGGGTTCAGATATGGGATTCTGTCCCAAAGCCACAAACTCACACAGAAACTCCTCTAAGTGAATTTTTTAATGTAAGTTTCATCAAGATAGACTTTTGTCACAACTGTAAGCTCTTGATATTGTTTACAAATAATAAATGTTCCAACGGAATCTATTTACCATTTACCAGGTTGAGGTTGTGGCTCTTAATAGTTTTGAAGAGAAAGAAGAACAATTCAAAGAGCAGGTAATTAGTATTCCTCTTTTTCTTTTTTCAATCCAATGTTATTGATCTATATTTATTATCTTGCATTTCTATCTAACTAAAGCTGAAGTTGGTTTAATGATCAATCTGATCAACTAATTGTGAGGCATTAACTTCTCTTTGCTTTTCAATTGTCTTTTAATGGAGGTGGCTAGTCTAAGACAGAGGTTTGTTCACTCTATTGAACCGGGTGGGCTTGCTGGAGATAGGCGGGCAGTTGTTCCTGCTTCTGGTTTTTCATTTAGTGCACAGCAGATGTGGAAAATCATCAAGGAAAACAAGGATCTTGATCTTCCAGCACACAAGGTTTGTTATCTCCCATAGAAAATTTAGTCTGAACATCTTTTTCAAGTATTTTTCTTGATTTTTGGTTTGATCGCGCGGTGTAATATATATATTTAAAGGTCATGGTAGCCACTGTACGGTGTGAAGAAATTTCAAATGAAAAATATGCCGCTTTTACTGCGAATGAGGTATCCTTAATTTTTAGAATGTTTTAGTGGGTGAATCGTGCTCGGTGTTCCTTAATTTTGAGCTCTTGATGTTAATGCGATCATATAGTAGGAATGGTGTCAAGTAGAGAAGGCAGTCCAATCTCATGCTGTGCCAGGATTTGGGAAGATTCTCAGTTCAATAGTGGATGTTTGCCTGTCTGAGTAAGCAAACTTATTGTGTTGAAGATTAGCATGCTATGCTAAGACCCCTAAAACTTATTTCAAATATTATTTGGAGTAAATGATAGGAAGTGCTTGTCACATGGCCTTACATGGATTTTACTTAAAAATGAAACTTGACTTTTAAAATTGTAACCGGAGTACTTTTTTAGTTTTTTTATGACAGAAAGTTGTTAGAACATTATTCTTTTTTGGGATGGTGGGCACAATTATATTTTAGACAGTGAATATGGAATAATTTCTTTAAACGGCGGAACTCATATGGACATGACCTTACTAGGTCTTTGGATCTTCAGGTATGATGCTGAGGCCACATTTTTTGATGAAGGTGTAAGAGTGGCTAAAAGAAAACAGTTGGAACAGAAACTGCTGCAGGTAATGTAGGGTTGCAGTACCTTTTTTTTTAATATTATAATTAGTCCAAAGTGTAAAGAGAAATGTATGTGTTTATAAGGTCTTGAATAACACTAAAATCTATGGATTTATTCCTATGGAAGTATGGAGTTATAGTGCGGTTTGGATTTATTACTTTCAAGCTAATTCGGGTTAATCTTGTAGCTTGTCCAACCATCTCACCAATCCATGCTGGGACACATACGATCCGAAGCCATGGAAAGATTCAAAGAAATATTTGGCAGTGCATTGAGTGGAGGGAAAGCCTTTGCTGAAGCTGCTTCGGAGTGCAGCGAGTCTTGTTTGGTGCAATTTGATGAAAGATGCAAAGGTACGTATTTTAAAGACCAATGAAAAGTTGAACATTGTCTCTACTTGACAATCCTGCATAGTTCTGCCAGATTACAGTTGGCAGCTTATTGAGTTAGAAGTGTTATGGTGGTTAGCCTGTGAAGCAAGTAACCCATTGCTCTGCAGATGCTTCCATTGACCAAGCTAATTGGGACTCATCTAAAGTAAAAGATAAGTTCCGGCGTGATGTAGATGCACATATAGTTGCAGTCCGTGCTGCCAAGCTCGCTGAACTGACAACCTTTTATGAGGTAAATTGGCATGATCAAATATTTTTGTGTGAATTCTATCGCATACGGAGAATATGATTTACTGTGTGCTCTTCAAATGATGTAGAAAAAACTGAACGAGGCATTGTCTGGACCTGTTGAGTCTCTCTTGGATGGAGCTAATGAGGACACATGGCCAGCAATTAGAAAACTGCTAAGACGTGAAATAGAAACAGCAATCCATGGAATTTCTTCTGCACTTTCTGGTTTCAAGATGGATGAAGAGACTCTGGGGGATATACTTTCAAGGTTGAAGGATTATGCTAGAGAAGTGGTGGAAACAAAGGCCAAGGAAGAAGCTGGAAGGGTTTTGATCCGTATGAAGGAGAGGTATAATGCCCAAAAAAATGTTTACCAGGAATCCCTTTCAACACTTTCTGACCACTTTTTTTTTCTTATTATTACAGATTTTCATCAATATTTAGCCATGACTCTGACTCAATCCCTAGAGTTTGGACTGGAAAAGAAGACATCAGAGCAATTACCAAATCTGCACGTTTAAATGTAAGGCGGTAATGTTTGCATGAACACAGCTGATCTTATTCCATTTGAATGTTTCAACCCACTCCCTTTCATTAATGTCGCAGTCTCTGAAGCTACTCTCAGTCATGGCTGCGATCCGGTTGGATGAGGAAGCTGATAGTATTGCAAAAATCTTGACGCTTGATCTATTGGATGGTAAATCAGGGGCTGCTGCTAACAAAAGTGTCACATCATTTGACCCTCTAGCCTCAAGCACTTGGGATGGGGTACTTTAGCATTCATCGGATAAAGTTTAATTTGAGGTGTTTCTACTAACTAAAACTTTCAATGGGAGTTCGGAGGAATCTATATCTTCTCCACTGTCCTCCCTCCAAAGGAAGCTCTTAAACCAAGCCAGGGCTTAAGCTGAAATCTTAACTTATTCTTTCACATGTTTTTCACTAATTTACCTATAGCTCTCTATTGTAGTTCTTTGACTACCTGAATTATAACCCTCGCAACAGGTTCATCCTTCAAAAACATTGATCACGCCCGTCCAGTGCAAGACTTTGTGGAGGCAATTTAAAACTGAGACAGAATACACAGTCACCCAAGCTATTTCAGCTCAGGCAAGACAACTCAAGGAGTGTATATTTGAAATTCTTTTTTGCTTTCGGCATGCATACTAAGCATTTTTTGTACGAAATTTGGTGTGATTACATGTGTATCAATACTCAGGAGGCCAGCAAGAGAAACAATAACTGGTTTCCGCCTCCATGGGCAATTCTTGCCTTGATTGTTTTGGGATTCAACGAGTTTATGACACTTTTAAGGTACTTCAAATTTGTTCAGGCTTCTACTTATTTTTCCACCTCATTGTGGATCCATATATGACTCCAACTGGTTTTTCTCTCTTTTTCAGAAATCCTTTCTACTTGCTCTTTATATTCATTGTTTTCCTGCTTTTAAAAGCACTTTGGGTGCAACTAGACATTGCGGGCGAATTCCGAAATGGAGCTGTAAGTTTTAGTACTCAAACTCTTTTTTTACCCTTGTCTGGTGCAGCTGATCATTTCATTCTCTCTATGCATATAAACTCTTCATGTGTCTACTGTACAGCTTCCTGGGATTATATCTATATCCATGAAGATCATTCCTACAGTCATGGACTTGGTCAGGCGGCTAGCAGAGGAAGGACAGGGGCGGGGGAGAAGAAATAACCCTCAGGCCGAAGGTAATATACCCTACAGGAGCTTCAGGAGTGGAGTTGATCAAGATCACGTCGGAGACACGTCGTCGAGTTGTTCTTCATCTGAGGTGGGTTCTTTAGATACCAATTCTGATTTCTCCAGCCCCAGGGCGGATAAGAAGTTTCAGTAGTCCTGTTTTTTTTTTTTGTCATGGGGTTTCATTTCATCCTTAATAATCCAAAGCGTGCCAATTCAAGGAGATTTCTTCATTCTTTCATTCTTTCATTTTTGTTTTCCTTCTTCCCCAATTTGATTTGGAATTCAGTGGTGTTTATTGCCTTCAGTTTTGTCTTACGAGGAGCATAATATAATAACATCATGTCCTTGGCTTTGCTTGAGGTTGGTTTTTCTTGTTATCAATGTCCTTGCTTGCCATTTCACGTTATTTTCTAAAAAAAATTGAATATTAAAATTCAAATTTATAGTATTTTTAAAAATAACAAATATGATGCCCTAAAAGTTTGGCACACTTTGCCTCAGCCTGCCCATGCTCCGTATTTTATTTTATATTAGAATGCTTCATTTTTTTTAAAAAAAATGCAACTGCATACTCCATCCGTCCCACAAAACTCTTCCCATTTCCTTTTTCATCCGCCCCAAAAAACATTTATTTTTTCCTATTAAAAAGTCACTTTTACCCCTATTAATTCTTAACTTACCTATCACATCACACTTTTTCTCTATTAATCTACTCACCACATCATACTTTATCCATCACATCAAAGAATATTTTTGGAAAATCAACACTAAAATACACTCCTTTTAAAAAAATTTAAAAGTTAAAATGAGAAGTTTTTTAAGGGGCGGAGGGAGTATTTCTTACTCCTTATTTTTATCACTTTTTAAAAGTAGGTGAAAATCAAACTTAATAGTAGTTCTTTTATGGGAGTATACGGAGTGTATTAATTTTGGATATGATGGAGAATACTCGGTATGCCAACATGTGAGCATTTATGAATTCTAGAATTTGAGTCCATCCAGCCAAAACACGTTGTACCATGCCAACATTGTTTACCTTTATTTATACCTAGCAATTATTATATACAGAGAAATTTGTAGAGTTATATTATCCCAAATAGTTGTAATTTCGCAACACTAGCTATTTTAATTGGGATTAATTAGAATAGAAATTATGAACTTGTATATTTTACAAACGAAGCATCGCATGCAATTATATGCATAATTCAACTGGTGTCATATAAGGATTGTGCAATTTTATTCTTCTTCATTATAAATACAATGAAGAGTTTTATGGATTTGCGATAGTCACGACTATTTTCAAAGTATATGAGTAATTATTTCTAATCATACATATATAGCTAGACAACCGGCTAATTAACAACATGTTAGGAATATTAATTGTCTACTGGATTAGGCCTTTAGGGGAATAATTCTTTAACCAAAATTCAAAACCAAATTGTATGTTGATACTTTATTATTGGGAGAATACTAAAATTTAAAGTTTAAAGTTGGGAATACAAAAATTTAATATGCAAAAAAGTTAAATAAAAAAAACTGTTGGTTTAAAGTAAATAGTTTAATCTAGATCGATAATTGAGGTTAGGGATAGCTGACGGAAAAATACTTGGGTGCACTTATGTTTTGCAAAGATAATTACTATTTGTGTCACACATATAATATCATCTACGTTATCTGTGCGAAGCATGGATGTGTTCATATATGGTAACACCCATGTGGTGGTACCCTAACATGACCCTTTGCGGGATATGTTAATCACAATACAATGTTGACCAATAACAACATAGACAACTAAAACACTACAGTACGGATGCGTAGACCGATCCACAACGAGTAATATATACGGAGCATTATATTCTCTCCGTTTCTCAAAAGAGTTCCTCTTTTAACTTTGGGGGAAATAAGGAAGTGTTAAATTGTAGTTGACTTTCCAATTTTGCCCTTGATGTGATGGGTAAAAGTAAGATGTGATAGTTTAGTTGTTAGTGAAAAAGTATGATGTGGTAGGTAGGGTATGAAAAAGTAGGGGTAAAAGTACCTTTTTAATAGAAAAGGGAAGTGTTTTAAGAAAAACAAAAAAATGAAAGATGAAAGGTTTTAAAAAACGGAGAGAGTATAAAGTAATGAACAAGTTAAAACTTTAAACTCGAACGGTAACTATAATTAATGTAAACCACTGACGCCCAACAAGCACCTATAGTGATCACGTACTACT